CCAAACCTAGTTCCTATTTAATGTTCAGGAATCCTAGACATGTTTCTACGTTCCATCATTCCACAGATATGAAAAATACATAATTTAAACATGTAAAAATTCACACCGGAAATCAAATCAAAATCATGCATTTATCAATTCATAACACAAGAACAGATATGAACCAAATTCATAAAACCTATGTTCTAATCCAATTAAACATGCATAATTATTTAATTTTATGTGTTTAATAAATCCTGAAATTTCCTAGGCATGTACAGAAATACGAATCAAAGGGAAAGAGATAGAAGAAGAATTTACCTTAAACTTTCGGATTGAAAGTTTAACTTCTTCTTCCTTGATCTTCTCTCTACAGGGTTTTTTCCCTTCTTCCCCCTCTATCTCTCTCTCTCTCTAGAATATATCACGTGAATATTTCTAGCCCCCTTTTACAACCTATACCTATATATTTATAAGCTAAATAAAATAATCCTAACCCTTTTCCTAATCCAAGTCAACTTAAAAAAATATATATATATTAAAATATTAAAAAAGTATGTAAAATATGTTACGTATATAATTTATGTATATCTTTATTAAATAAATAAATTATACACATCCCATTATTTATTAATGGATTATCCAATAATACTTAAGTCACCATAATATTATAAAGTAATTTAAAATATAACACGTATCAAATCTATGTATATTTTTATTTATTTCAATATAAAACATATATATCAGATTAAATATTACTACCCAAGTTACCATAAAAGTAATTAATAAATTATTTTTCCTTTTATATATATTAAAAAGGTAAGTAAAATATGTTACGTATATAATTTATGTATATGTTTATTAAATAAATAAATTATAAACATTCCATTATTTATTAATGGATTATCCAATAATACTTAAGTTATCTTAATATTATAAAGTAACTTAAAACATAACACGTATGAAATCTATGTGTATTTTTATTATTTAAATATAAAACATATACATCAGATTAAATATTACTACCAAAGTTACCATAAAAGTAATTAATAAATTACTTTCCCTGTTATATATATTAAAAAGGTAAGTAAAATATGTTACGTATATAATTTATGTATATGTTTATTAAATAAATAAATTATAAACATTCCATTATTTATTAATGGATTATCCAATAATATTTAAGTTATCATAATATTTTAAAGTAACTTAAAACATAACACGTATCAAATCTATGTATATTTTTATTATTTAAATATAAAACATATACATCAGATTAAATATTACTACCCAAGTTACCATAAAAGTAATTAATAAATTATTTTCCTTTATATATATATATATCTATATATATACATACACAACTATTCATAGGTAATAATCCATACACATCCAACCTCCTATCCAAGTAATCCATGGGACCCAATTGGTTGGCCCATTACCACTAACCATAACCATAAAAGAAAAAGAAAATAAAATAATAAAAGAAAAGAAAATATTTAATTTACAATTAATCAAAATATCAGTTAAACACATAATCTAATTAAATAATTAACACATAAACAAATACAAATAATACACAGACACATTATCAAATAATCAAGTAATACCTAATTCAATTAAACACATAAGCAATTAGTCAAATAATCAATTAAATAATTAAAAATACAATTAAAACAAATAAATAAATACCGAGACTATCCTTTTAAAATTAGGGGTATTACACGCCGAGACCCAATTACAGCAACAGTTCCGGCGAGCTTCAGTCTGGTGAAAAGTCTCTCTTTCCAGCAACAACACTGATTTGTGATTATTGAGTTATCAGATCGGTGAAGATTCACAAAGGGAGATGGCAATTTGTCAAAGAATGAAAGCTTAGGTGACATATTTGTGGTTGAATTTGGTGATCTTGGTTTAGGGTTTTAATTGAAAAACAAAACTTTGTTACTTTTTTCCCAGCCCACACCCACCCATCATCACCTCCAATTCTCCAAATAAATATTTTTTGTCCAAATCTTCAAACCCAATAATTGTGGACAACTCAATCATGGCGGCGTCGGATTCCGGTAGCCATGGCTGCCGGGAGAGGAAAAACAGTAACGACAAAAGCAAAATCCAGAGCAATGATTTAATTAAGGTTGATTTTGTGATTAGTTTGGTTTTAGTTGCCAAATCGGGTCCCAAATCAGCAAGAGGTTTTGGGTTTTGAATGTGGTTACCGGAAGATATATACGTGTATATATATATGTACTCTATTATATACACACACACACACACACTACAACATATATGTACTGTATATAAGGGTAGGATTGCCATTTATAATTTACAGTATATAGGCACAACCAAAAATTACCGGAATAGTGTCACCTAAGTTTTTTTTGGTAAAAATGAGAATAGTTTAGGGGGTTTTTTGTAAAAAAAAAAAAGTTCAAGGGGGTTTCTTGGGAGAGAGAGCAAAGTTCAGGGGGATTTTTTGCACTTTACCCAAAAATATATATATATTCAAGCAATATATGTATTTTGAACTGATAGCGTTTGATTAATTACTATTATGAATTATTAATGTTTAGAGTAAAGCCATAAAAAGTGTCACGAGAATTATGAGCTTAACTTCTTAATCTTTAAATTTTTTATTTTTTGTTTTTTAACCTGGCAAACATATAATATATTATAAAAACATAAAAGAAAAATACCAGGTGTTCTTGCGAAGGTAAGGCGGTCACCACATACAATCATATCAAAGGTACAACTATGCATATTTCATAGAAGATGAAACATCAAATTCATATTGCAGACCAACTATCCAAGGAGTCTACCAAGGAGCCTATAAAGGCTAAGAACTAGGGCCACGGGAACAAAGATAAGCCCTACAAGCATAACGTGTCTTTCACGCACAAGCACAACTGACCACGTCATAATTGCCTTTGACAATTGCACGGTACTTCGCATTGAAAGAAGACAGGAATTGCTCGCCGGAATCCAAGATAGCAGGAACTGCTTGTGCCGGCGATACCGAAGCAGCGGAGACACCTATGGCCACCTCAAACCGCCGCCAAACCCAGAAAGCATAAGAAATTCCATGAACCAAACATTGGCCCATCGTTGAAAGGATTCTAATAACACCCCACCGTAGTGCAAACTCCATGGTTTGAGAAGGAGGTTCATCACTGCTGAACCATAGATCCGGCATGGAAACCCAGAGAGATGTGACGCTCGGAGGGAAAGGGACAATGGATGTCCAGTAAAGAGGTCAGGACCCAAAACAACACAATTTACAATTTAGCACCAAACAGGATAAGAAAACAACCGTTACAATACCAGGATCAAAAGGAAAGAGAGGCAAAGATGAACTGGAAATTCCGATGAGAAAAGAGAAGTAACAATACAACCCCAGTAGAAAATTGATACTGGTGTACCCAAGCCAGTAAACCGATTTGATCGTTTATAGGTATATCGATGATAAAACGAGACAACATGGAACCAAAATCAAAGAACTTGAGTCCAAAAAAGGATGGAAAAACAAGCATGAGGTTCCAAATTAAGATGTGAGGCCACACCCAGAGATATGTATACAGCAAGCCCCATAGAATAAACCCACAGGATCCAATAGTTGAGCCCAAAAGACACTGAAAACAGCCGGCAAGCCAGTGAGTGACATGAAAACACCCACCCAAAATGGAAGAAACCATAGAGAGGAATAGATCTGTAAGCAGATCCACTGACTATCCATTGTTGCTCCACAAAATGGAAAATACTCTGCACTTGCAGAGAAGCCTCTACATAGAGAGAGGAAACATCGGGACATTTGTTAGGCTCAGTTTGGTATAGTGGAAATGGGAGGAAAGGGAAGGGAAGATGATGGAGGGTGATTAAAAAATTGTGTTTGGGTAAAATGGGTGAAAGGAAAGGAAAGAAGAGGGAAGGGTTTGGAGGGTTATGGTCTGCTTTGTACAGTGAATTGATTATCCTCCCAAAAATGGGCGGAAATGGAAGGAAAAGGAAGGCAATGGTTGATGTAATATTTGTGATGTCAATTTTACCCTCTTTTCGTCACCTTAAGCTTGCGAATGGTGGCGGCCAGCGGCTGAAGCTTGCAAACGGCGAACCCGAATTCAAACAATGGGTGATGGAAACTGAAAGATATGGGTTTTGATTTTTTGAACAATCTGAAATGATATGCGGATATGGGTTTTGAACATTTGATTCTTGATAGATAAAGTGAAATATATGGGTTTTGAACTTTTGATTCTTGATAGACAGCGGCTGTAGTAGAGAGAGAGAGAGTTCAGAGTTGAGAACGAGGCGGAAAGATTAGGGAATGATTTGCCCTAAAATCTTGTGGTATATCATCCATATACGTGGCTGTTATTTTACTTTTTTTTTTATTTTTTATTTTTGGTCTATTTTACTTTTTTACTTTTGGTCTATATATATCTTTTAAAATGAAAAAGGGTATAATAGTAAATTTCATTTTCTTTCCTTTCTTTTCCTTTCTTTTCCCAAACATGATTTTTATACTTCCTTTTCTTTTCCTTTATTAATCAACCAAACACGATAGAGGGTTAAAATTATCCTTCCCTTTCATTCTCTTCCTTTTCCCTCATAACTAATATTATCCTTCCCCTTCAAATCCACCATACTAAACATAACCTTAATCTTTAAATTAAAAATTAGTATTTGATAAATTTTCTTCGTTTAATTATTGATGATTAAATTTTAGATTTCTTTGTGTTCCACAGTAAAATGACCAAAATAACTCAACACGAAATCTTAAATCAAGTTGTATTAAAATCTCAACTTAACGCTCAATCTTGAGTTTTGTGCAAAAGAAGGTAGTTGATCTCACAAAATCCCTTCAAACATGAGGGAATTACTTTGATTGGTTGAGTGGGTTTTGTTTCTCTTTCTCTTTTCCTTTTCCTTTTCCTTTTCCTTATTCTTTTTCTTTTATTTTCTTTTATTTATTATTTATTTTATTTTTCATGGAATTCACCCAAATAGGATTTACAAAAATTTTGCTACCTCACCTTATAATTGTAAGGTTTATCACTCTTATCAGGCATAAGGTGGAGGCAAAGAAGAAATGGAGGGTAATGTTGGTTTGAAAATAGGGAAGGACGAAGACAACAAGGCAAAGAAAGGTCTGGAGGGCACCGGACTGAATCTGCCCAGCAATCGCCATGGCAACCTTACGAGTGCCTCAAGCGATGAAAACCTCAAGGACATCTTTCACCATATCAGAACTTCCAAAACCCTTGTAAGCAAACCCACTTATAAATTTCATTTCTCCTTTGCAATCCAACTTTTGGATTACCAAATTTTGGGCACCTTCTTTTATTAAAATTTAAATTGGGTTTTGTTTTGTTTTTCTTTTTCTTTTTTTCCCCTAATTCTTCTTTTGTTTGGGTGCTCATACTTGCTTCTGGAAATGTTTTTTCAGGCAGTGATCAACTATGGTGCATCTTGGTATGTCAACAGCCTCTTTAAACCTTTCTTTAATATTTTTTCCTTTTAGCTTCATTTTCATTAACATATTTCGTCAGTGTTTGTGTGTGAATCGTATGTGAACTCAAGGTGTTAGGTGTAATGCTCAAAAGAAAATTGACATAATGAGTAGCCTTTTAGGAGTCCAGTAAACTGCTTTCTGAACTCTGACTATTAAGTACTTGGTAAAAGAAAAGGTGCAAGGCATTCAAGAAACTTTGCCTATGAAGAGTAAATTGTGGAAATATCCTGTCATTTCATATATCATAAAAAAACTTGAAATTTATTTTGAAGTACAAATTTGAGCCCTTTTCATTTGTTTTTCTGCATTTGATTACAATTTTTTTGTCCTTATTTTATTGAAACAATTTTCAATATGTCCACTTCCCTACCTACGAGGCTACCACTATAGTAAAAGAAAATTCTTCTTTTATGTATTAAATAGAATTTTAGATTATAAAAGTTTATCTCAAAAGAGAGCTATTTCTGGGATATGTGAATGGTGATATGTTTAGGAAGAGAAAACTGTAGCCATCTTATTGAAATATGGAACATGGATTGAATTTTTATTGGGCATTTAGGGAAGGGGGTTTAGATGGTGGATTCTGAGCACTTTCCATGATCTTCTGAGCCGGGGTTGAAAGGACTGCATTCGGTTCATACTACTTTTGACACCTGAATCAGATTTATCATAGCCTCAATTATCTTCTCCACGGTCTTTTGAAATTCTCTTTGGAGCTTTACGTTGGGTCAGCAGACAGCAGCTGTGATGATAAATGTCTCACATACTATGTGGGATACATTATGATTGAGTTAGTTGTACAGAGGATACATTATTAACAAATTGAAGTTTGTCATTATCTTGATTTTATTAATCTTTATACTGGGCAAACTTACCTGTTGATTACAAAATAAGTTCAAAAAAATGAAACACATCATGCCTTTAAATAAGTTAGTTTTGGTTGAGCAATCCCGGATCTTCTAGTGAAATGTATTGATGGGCTGATACTTAGCTGAGCAGCAATGATATGTTCCCTGAACTTTAAGGTACCATTTTTTTTTTTTTTTCAAGGGGCTGGACTTGTTCCATTGACTGTAAGTATCGGTTTGGCATGGCCTTCATCACTCTGAGGAAGTGCCAAGTCACCGCTCAACAATTTGGTCTTTGTGCCATTGCACATTGGCCGATGCCATGTGGCGACTCGGGTTGAATACCAGCTATAATATGTTGATACTGGCATGTTTATACAGACCAATGTGATAAACATAGGTGGATCAGATGAAAACTAAGGCCAGAAAAACAAGAAAGTTTCTGTCCAATGTGATAAACATAGGTGGATCAGATTGACAAGAAAGTGGTACAAGATAAAAACTGAGTCCAGAAAACCAAGAAAGTTTCCATGAGATGTCAGAAAACCAAGAAATCAATTACGGGATACACCATACAGGTCGACAGTCCTCAAGTTTCTCTCTCTTGAACTTTAAAGCTAGCCAGTTTTTAAGTATTTGATATATCATAATATCTGTTCACAGAGTGGGCATAGAAATATTCTTGCTCAGTGGTATATCCATTTCTTTTGAAGTTCGGATACCAATCCTGTTAAAGCAAGATAATTAATCTTGACTGCATATAATAAGATCATCTTAGTAAAATATGAACTTGGGCTTCAGCAGGGCCATTCTTCACCACTTATTTTTCTTGTTTTCTTCAAACTAATACATCTGTGGTATTCATAATACTATCAAGCTAATTGGTCTATCATTTGCAGGTGTCATGTTTGCAGCCAGATCCTCCCTGCATTCTGCAGGTTAAGCAACAAGTTCCCAAAGCTCTCTTTCATATATGCAGATATTGATGAATGCCCAGAAACAACACAGCACATACGGTATACGCCTACTTTCCATTTCTACCGAGATGGTGAAAGGGTTGATGAGATGTTCGGTGCTGGAGAGGAGCGGCTCCATGACCGGTTGTGGTTGCACTCCTAAACAACACAGCACATACGGTATGTGCCTACTTTCCATTTCTACCGAGATGGTGAAAGGGTTGATGAGATGTTCGGTGCTGGAGAGGAGCGGCTCCATGACCGGTTGTGGTTGCACTCCTAAAGGCATTGACCGAGCTTTAGCTCTACAAACATTTCAGCTATTAAATCTATTTGCTGTAAAGATCATGTGCTCTGTTAAATTATGCGAAGAGTTTCTTATAATGTATACTAGACTCACGGTTGGTTAGGCCATTCTCATTGTCCAATCTGCTTTTATTTCCTGGTAACCATGCTCCTTAGTTAAGAGTCACATAACTTTCATTTGGTGAGCAACTCAAAGATGTGGAAATTACCACTGCTCTCAAGAATTTTGATAGCCTCTCAGAGAACAGATATTCTACCAACCGAAAGAAGAAATAGTAGGAAATGTAGATTGTTGGAGATGAAGCATATCAATTAATTCAAATGCTCATCAATTAAACTACGCTAGTCCATAAGAACTGGTTGATAAATTCAAAATTTGAAAAATTCAAATAAGAATTCCTACAAAAGAGAGCAACAGAACAAGTGATTTGCTGGAAACAATTACTTGCAGGAACAAGAAAAAGGTAAAAGGAAAAAAGGTCAAAAAGAAAATGAACCAAACACCCTAGGCTCCTATAATTGTAACGATTTGACTTGAAGCACAAGTATTCCTGCCTCCCAACCATAGCCTTGAGAAATGAACTTCAACATTACAAGTATATGCAATGAAGCTTCTTATCCTCGGCAACCAGAAAGATGGCACAGGAAGTCCTTTTGCAGAGAACATTACAAGGCTAATCCATGAACTCAAGCTTTTGGCTTGAGGATCTTAACGGTCTCCCAAGTGAAATCTGGGTCATCACGGCCAAAGTGACCATAAGCAGCGGTCTTCTGGTACCTGAATTTGCCTCCTCTCTTGAGGTCAAGATTGATTGCGATCATTCCTGGCCTAAAGTCAAAGTTTTCCTTAATCAGAGCCAATATATCCCTGTCCGGGATCTTACCTGTATTGTAAGTGTCAACAAACACAGAAAGTGGTTCTGGCACGCCAATCGCATAAGAAACCTGAACAATACAACGGCGAGCAAGTCCAGAAGCCACCACACTTTTGGCTGCCTGCCTAACAATGTATGCACCACTCCTGTCCACCTTAGTAGGATCCTTCCCTGAAAAAGCACCTCCACCATGAGCACCCCAGCCGCCGTAGGTGTCAATAATTATCTTCCGTCCGGTGAGTCCTGCATCACCATGCGGTCCACCAATGACAAATCGACCTGCGGGATTAAGGTGAAAGATGGTTTTATCATCCATGTATTGGGGCGGGATGACAGGTTTAATCACATGCTCTTTCAAATCCTTGGAGATCTGCTCATTTGTTACGGTCTCATCATGTTGGGTTGAGATGAGAACTGTGTGAACTCTAATAGGGACCATGGCTCCACCCTCGTTCCGGTACTCAACAGTCACTTGGGTCTTACCATCGGGTCTCATCCAAGGACAAGTCTTATTCTTCCGCACCTCAGTAAGCCTGGCACCAATCTTGGTCGCAAGGACATGAGTTAGAGGCATGAGCTCTGGTGTTTCATCAGTAGCATAGCCAAACATGTGGCCTTGGTCGCCAGCTCCAATTTCCTCAGGCTTCTTGGTAAGGTGTCCATGAACCCCTTGGGCAATATCAGGACTCTGTTGCTCAACATTGACGAGGACCTTGCAGTGGTCGCCATCAAGACCAACATCAGGTGATGTGAACCCGATGCCCCTGCAAGTATCTCGAACTATCTTCTCATAATCTACTTTAGCCTTGGTCGTAATCTCACCAAAGACCATGACCATGTTAGTTTTCGTGCAGGTCTCGCAGGCAACTTTGCTTTCCGGATCTTGTTCCAGGCAAGCATCAAGGATGGCATCTGAGACTTGATCACAAAGCTTGTCGGGATGGCCTTCATTGACAGATTCCGAGGTGAAGAGGATGGTCTCCATATCTATATTGATGAAGAGCATCAAAAGATATGTTAATCCTTTATTAGTAAACATAGAAAAACTAAAGTATCAAGAATAACAGGGATCATTCCACCAAAAAAAATTAAATTCCACTTAAAAATAAAATAATAACAGGGAAAACATGAGTCGCGTGTATAACACAAATATAATCCAAAAGGAAGAACAAAATGCTTGTCTTTGTGGCTTTACTGGTTGAAAAATATCCAGTATATTCATCCATGGATGAAAATCTCATAATATTTTTGCTCCATATGCAGTCGTCTTTGTGGCTTTACTGGTTGAAAAATATCCAGTATATTCATCCATGGATGAAAATCTCATAATATTTTTGCTCCATATGCTGCTTCTGCATTGAAGGGTTAAATAGCTCAAAGTACGTAAATTTGGCTCAAATTTACTTTCGACTTCTTGTGAAAATCTTCTATATAATTTCCAAGGGTATCGTCTTTCCATTCTATCCATGCTGCATCCTATTAGAAAGCAATGTGGGATCAAATCTCAGGCACCACCACCCCAATGACCGTGGGATCCTCAATAGTAGCTGTCCTTGGAACTCTTGCCTTACCCATTTCCTCCCCAAAAAGAAGAGGGGTGGAGATGAGTGTGAAGTAAGAAACAGTATACAAATAATATGAGCAAAAGTACAATGCATGCACCATATTTCTCATAGCTATAAGCTACCTCTTCCGCATTGTAGGTTTGTGTAATATAATAAGAATATAAACACCACAATCAACCGGATACAACAATGATTTATTAGATAGAAAAAATATAGTAAATCTAAAAAGTGAAAACATGAATGTTATGAATTAATCCCTTTCATATTAACTTTGATAACACTTGTTAGGAATTAATCCGCCCAAGATCACACACACAAATATGCAATGGCAACAAAAGGAAAAATAAGATGAAAATAACACACTCAACAAATTACAAGGTTTACGCACGGGTGAAGAAAACTACTAACTTTTATTTAGAGAAAAGAGAATATTACAACTCTCAATAGATTACCAAGAGGTATTCCACACTCACTCACTAGTAGAAGACACACTCTTCTTAAAGAATACACTCACTCTTGGCCCTCAACATTTTCTCTGTATTCTCTTCACTCATTTTTTCTTCACGCCATTTCTTCACTGCTGTTCACCTGTATTTATAGGCAAGGCCTTTTACCGCCTTACCAACAGTACAATTCACCAAGACCATCCTTCAAGTAACCTTAGCTAATAAGCAAATGCCTTTGACTTCAACCATTCCGGCTCCAGCTCACACACACCTTGTTACCACCTTTTCATTTCTTAGTTGTTACTTTTCCGTAACCTCAAGTTTTTGTCATGGTTACTTTTCTTCTTAACCGCAATATGACTTCATTAATATATGCATGTAATAAATTAATTAATTTTTCATGCATGACTAACACCATCCACACACACTCCTCCACTGTCTCATGAACTTTTGCTGTTAGCCACCTTTAATGCATTGATCAAACAATGACTAACCAATTATCAAAACACACATCACTCTACCAATTAATTTTAGCCAACAAAAGAAGAAAGTTATGGTGGACACCATGTTGCTAAATCACAAAGGTGTGTATTATTTCTTAGAGGGTTCATCTCAAAATTATATGATTGTCTCATTCATAAAATCTTCCAATCACCATCCAGTGCTAGGAAAATCAACTCTCTCCTAAAAAAGAATACTCCGAGAGGTTAGACTTTCACTTAACCAGCAAGAATTTGCATCCTTGTTTCTATTTAACCTCTTCTACTTCATCCCTGTCACCTCACCCTACTACATGAAATATCTTTGATGATGTATTCTAGAAGAGAACAAAACCAAAATGCCTACATTATTCAATTTTCCTCCTAATGGACTAGAAAAAGAAAATCCCTCAAATAGAACAAACCAAAGCAATTTCGAACAAAGAATCCATATAAATCCTAGATTTAGATATTTGTTCATTTAAAGCTGCAGAGTATTCATCCAATTTTCATTTGTTAAAAGTGTTTCATGAAACACCAGTTTGGGTAATCTCAGAAATCGTCAATAGCACCTGCTTGAAGTGAACTCAAGCAATCAAACATACTGTAACAAACAGAAGACAACCTTCCGAGTGGAATTAAGAGAACATAGGGTTATCACCCAAGGTTCTGCCTTGCACCAAGTAGAGCGTGGAGGATTTATAAATTATAATCCATTATGTGCACATGATTGCCAATGAATTCATTGTTATATCAGAGCTCAATCTATGCCAGAATGGTCTGAAACTTCATAAAATTAAACCCTAATAACTAAATTCAATAGCTTCCTTCTCTTAACAAAGGGCAAAACTATTCAAGTGACCCTTTAAACTGCATATATTTTGAATTTTCCAATTCTAGGCGGCAAAATCCTATAGAAAAATTAGTTGCAGAATAAATAGGATAATTGAAATCTGATTACAGTAGCATTATCAGTTTATGGAAGTAGGAGGATACAAGGACACACATCAATTTATGAAAGCAGGAGGCTACAAACAGTGGTATCAATAAGGCAGTCTATGTTCAATTACTTATCAGATAGAGTTCATTAAATACAAACAAACCTCTCTCTCTATATATTATATATTGTGGATAATCTCAACCACTTTTGATTATATGTATATATATTATATTTAGAATTAAAAAGCAATAGGCTTCAGAGGGATAAGATCCAACAAAAACAAAATATCAGAAAGGTCAAACAAATTTTAGGACAACAATGAACTTTCATAATCAAATTGCTAAAAAGGAAAAAAATAAAAAATAAAAAATAAAAAATAAAAATGTTGTTGAACAAAATCAGATAGCATATAAACTGACAGAAAGAGAACAAAATGTAAATCATAGATTCATAATCGTTCAAAGAACAAATAAAAGATCTAATATAATGAACAAAAGCAATCAAGATTGTGTTAGAACTAAATAGAATCAGTAGGATTTGATCTGAATTCGATTCGTACATACCTGTGTGTGTAGTTAGGTAGCTGTGAGATGTGAAGAAGCAGAAATGTGTAAAAGAATAAGAAATGTGAAGAGAGAAAAGTTTGAGGAGACATCCTATATATAAGCCGATATAAGGGTGCGATCTCGTCTGACCCGCTCTCCAAACTAAAAACGGTGTAGGTGGGATCAGATATCAGAGTCTCATCTTATGGTTTCGTCAACAAATGATCAAAACTCTATATTGTGGGTTCCATGGGGATGCCCACGTCTGATCAAAAATTTCTCCTTTTGTTTTTTTTTTTTTTTTTTTTCCCGGATACACTAGAGAAAAAAAAAAATCCATAATTATTGGTTTTAAAAAAAAAAAAAAAATTCATAATTATTCGGTTCAGAAGGAAAATTGTATATATTCTAGGTAAGTTATAAGGTATTACAAGAGAGGCATCATATCATTATAAAATATAAAAAAAAAATTACATAATATAAATATAGATATAATTATTAATGAACAATACTAGTGAGGATTTATACCAATATTTACACCATATCTGATTTGGTAAGTGGGTATCTATCCACCATATCTGATTAGTAATTAAAGATTACGTTTTCATTTATTATTGATTCACATCAAGAATGTGTACGATATATGGTGTGAGGATCTAAATATTATTCATTATTAATTGAGTACTGCTATTGCAAAAGTGCTCTTGCAAAAAGTTTAAAGAGCTCGCGCTTATAAGCTTGATTATCAGTTCAAGCCTGATTGTCCCTAAACCCAATGTGAGTTTTTTCTATTTTGACTTGCTCCCCCGCCGCGATTGAATGAGAATGGATAAGAGGCTCGTGGGGTTCACGTGAGGGGGCAGGGATAGCTATATTTGATATTTCTGGGAGCGAACTCCGGGTGAATATGAAGCGTATGGATACAAGTTATGCCTTAGAATGAAAGACAATTCCAAATCCGCTTTGTCTACGAATAAGGAAGCTATAAGTGATGCAACTATGAATCTCATGGAGAGTTTGATTCTGGCTCAGGATGAATGCTAACGGCATGCTTAACACATGCAAGTCGGACGGGAAGTGGTGTTTCCAATGGCGGACGGGTGAGTAACGCGTAAGAACCTACCCTTAGGAGGGGAACAACAGCTGGAAACGGCTGCTAATACCCATAGGCTGAGAAGCAAAAGGAGGAATCCGCCCGAGGAGGGGTTCGTGTCTGATTAGCTAGTTGGTAAGGCAATAGCTTACCAAAACGATGATCAGTAGCTGGTCCGAGAGGATGATCAGCCACACTGGGACTGAGACACAACCCAGACTCCTACGGGAGGCAGCAGTGGGGAATTTTTCGCAATAAGCGAAAGCCTGATGGAGCAATGCTGCGTGGAGGTAGAAGGCCTACAGCTCGTGAACTTTTTTTCTTGGAGAAGAATCAATGACGGTATCTGGGGAATAAGCATCGGTTAACTCTGTGCCAGCAGTCGCGGTAATACATAAGATGCAAGCGTTATCCGGAATGATTGGGCGTAAACCGTCTGTAGGTGGCTTTTTAAGTCCGCCGTCAAATCCCAGGGCTCAACCTTGGACAGAAGGTGGAAACTACCAAGCTGGAGTGCGGTAGGGGCAGAGGGAATTTCTGGTTGGGCCAACATTGACACTGAGAGACGAAAGCTAGGGGAGCAGTCCTAACCATAAACGATGGATACTATAAGCCACACAATTCTTATTTTTAGGGATTTGGGAGAGACAATTAATTAAGAAAGAATCCTTTGCAATTAAAAAAACAAATCAAGTTTTTTTCTCTCTCTCTTCTCTCCACGTTCTCTCTTTCTCTCTCTTGGTTAACACCCTCAACTAATCTGTCTCTTTCTCTCTTTTGGTTAACCCTCAAAGAATCTATCTCTTTCTCTTTCATAGTTAACCTTTTGTATTTCAATCAAAGAATCTCTCCACCCGCATTCGATCCTTCCTCGCTGACATACTAGGCTCTCATAAGTTAGACTTGATCTATCATGTTCGTGACAATATTTCATTCTATTTGAGATTTTTTTTTTATTTGTTCGCGTATTTAAGATTTGGAATAACATCATCACAAAAATTTTACCTGTTGTTTAATTATATTTTGATATAATTTTTTTTTTTTTTTTTTTCATGTTTTTGAGCTTTGGAATAGTCTCATCCTAAAAATTTTATGTGTTCAAATTAAGAGAGAAAAATAGGCAGATTGGTGGAGGGTTAACCGAGAGAGAGAGAGAGAGAGAGAGAGAGGAGAGAGAGAGAGAGAGAGAGAGAGAATATGGAGAGAAGAGAGAGAAAAAAAGTTTGATTTGTTTCCTTATTTGTAAAGGATTAGTTCTTAATTAATTCTCTCCCAAATCCCTAAATATAGGAATTATGGGACTTATAAGGGCGAATTCTTTTAAACTTTTTACTAGAGTGCTCTCGCAATAGCACTACTCTTATTCATTAGTGTTTGAACAATATTTACCAAAGCATATAATATTGTGTGTCAATTCAATTGATATTGGACAAGAAAGCAAGTAGCAACCCTTTGGTTATTAACGGAATATTATTTTTATGAAAATACATATATACCATTTAGCTTTTTGTAAGGTTAAAAAAATATATATATTAGCTTTTTGTAATGTACCTTGAACTAATTTAAGTAACAAAGTTCCTTCAATTTATCAAAATCTTGCAAATCAACCTTGAAGTCTGATAAGGGTTCAAATCTTTAAAATGGTAAAATGGATGTGTGAGTGGTGTGCCTGTCAATGAAAAAAAAAAAAAAAGACCTGATGATGATAGTATGAAATTACAAAAATATCCTTTGTTTTAAATTGACCAAAATCTTCTTGTGAGGGATGCCTTCTAGCTATTTTATGTCAAATTCATGAACCATCTCAAATGTTGATTCAAATCAGATCATTGCAAAGTTGTTTATCAGCAGGAACTCAAACAAATAATCATAGAGCAAATAAGTTCTCATTTAGCAGTCCCCATCAACACTGCTTTGTGTTTTCCTTGTGATCCCCAATCCCACATTCCATTTTCTCATACTAACAGGTATCCCATTCTCACTCACATGGATGTTCTCTTTCTCAATAATACAAGTGAGTGAAAAAATGTGAAACTACTACCATAACAACACTGACAATACTGTTTTAGCCTGTGGCTCATCATTTCTTTATTTTCCAGGGCATGCAACATTGAATTTTTTTACTTTAATGGGAGCTAAAGCCCACAGCTCCAGAAAGAATGTACATAACAATCAAAACTGAACTTCTCTGATACAAGTCTAGGCAAGAAGAAAAGAATTAATTAATAGCTGAGGCCTAATTGAAGTCCAAGGGCAGCATGGACAAGAAAGAGTGTCATGATTCCACTACCCAAGATCCCATGAACATTCCGTAATCCAGGATTCCCCTGCATCGATTCGAATTTATATTTCAAGACAGGAAAGAAACAGACTACAAGGACAGACAATAATCATATAAGTATATAATCACCGGCACTGCATGCAACATTTGTTTACCTCAAACAATGCTGGCAATATGGTCTGTATGGTCAAGAGGGAAAGGCCGATGAAACCAGTGATAGCATGAGGACTGTAAACGAATATATAAATCAATCAAAGATGTCCAAAGTAACAACTGTTTAGTTCCCTCTAATCCTTCAATTACGGAAATGAACTCGATATGGACCCCAACAAGTACCTCTCAAAGACACTAAAATATGGACTCCAACAAGTACCTCTCAAAGATTGGTTTATCTGAAGTGAGTAGGGCTGTTATTCCACCAGTAGCTCCTAAAGCAAAGAAGAAAAACATCCCTCCAAGAAGTTTTGGGTGCAAGTCTTTGGCCTTCGCCTTCTCCCCCTGGATTTATAGAATGTAATCCAAGTATGATGTTATTGAAAAAATAGGGGATTGTTTATGATTCAAAATACATATTTCAGATGGATTTCTTACCGTGTCATTAGAAAAGCGTATTCGGAAACCAAGATAAGTTCCATAGCCACCCATGGCAAAGAGTACGACAGCCTACAGCATCACACGAGAGAATAAATTCTATAAAATTGCTGTTTCATAAAAAAACAATTCTATGGAGAGGCTATTCAGAAGAAAGAAGCTACAGGAAGCTAAAAAGGAGGAAGTTTACCATGTTACCAGGGTGACCCCAATGCACAAGCCAGTCTGGAAGATTCCATGACTTCACGAGCTCAACGAAAGGCCCAAATAGAGACTTCAAAGTTCCAGCTGACATACAGATGTTTAATCTCATTACGATCGTATATAGAGAACAGAAAGGAACAAAAACAAATGAAAAATAGGCCTAATGTCAATCTGGAAGTATAGACCTAGTGACTGACTTAGTGGGATATCATTCAACGTTACATAAGCGGTAAGGATTGTAGGAATTTCTTTGATGTCAACTTTAGGTTGCACAAACACAGATCAAGAAAAATCTAGACCAAATAGGTTCTGTAAATGAAGAATACAAAACCAAAAATATATATATAAAACTCAAGACTTCAGCACATTGGAAGCTAATATTCAAGGAAGAGGAAAACCAAAACTTAGGAAATCACCTACCTAGAGCTAAAAAACATAATGTCAAGAATTCATGAACAACAGCTGTCATAAGTAAGCATTCACACAAACACAAAACAAGCAATGCACCAAGCACTTCCTGAAAGCCACACTCCCAAAGTAACATGGCTAGCACTAGCAGCAGAACGCCCTAATTTTATAAGGATTGATGTCTTCTCCACCCAGAAGCAACCTTCTCAAAGCACTTAAGCTAACTCTCATTAAGTATGCCTATTAACAAATTCTCGTATCCTACGTTGACTCTCTGTCAAGTGAAAAGGAAAATGGAACTAAATGAACTTGGCAACACAACAATAAGACAACCAGAAGAGCCACTACCGATCGAGAAATGAGTCAACTCCTAGGAAATGCTGTTCACAAGGAGAAATCAGAAGTAGCAACAATAATCAAACCATTTTAAAATGTCTGAAAATCAAAGAAGACAAATTATCAGGCAATGCGACTACTTTCTTATGACAATAATAACTGTAAGCTATACGTTCATCCTATCTTTATGTAAAATTTATGGCCAAAATCTGGAAAACAAAGTTCGGAGTTCCAGCAGAATTTCAGGGTTCAGGCAATGGGATTAATCTACAGATTATAACACAATATTACTTATTTTAAAAACAATGTTCACAACAATACTAAAAAGAAAAAAAAGGAATGATGCAATTGAAATGAAGCTACCATTCTTATATGACACTAAAGGCTGAACCTATCAGTTACTAGTAAGACAGCCCAAGAAAACTGTCTACACACATACATATAATACATATATGCGTATATATTATTATTACCTCCAGGAAGAGCAGCAACAAAGAGCAGAGGCAGAGGAGTGAAGGAGTACAACAGAGTCTCACTGGGCTCCTCCATTTCTTCTTCACTGTCTTCAGCTATACCAACAGCTTCGCAAGGTCTGTTCTTGAGAGCGAAAGAGGGAAGGGGAAGAGCTCCGCAGCACCTTCTAGAGGCCAATGCAAAGGGCAAGGAGTTGGAGGGCATTTTAGAGGAAGTTACTGGGTAATTAGAGAAACGTGGAGAGGAAGGAAAATGTAAACGAAAAGCCGCAGAAATGTTCATCATAGCCATTTGAACAACACAGCAGAAAAGAAAGAGTGTTTTTCAAAAACCTCACAGAAGTGAAGTGCAGATAGAGAGAGTAAAAAGAGGAAGAAGTGGGGAAAGGCAGCAAAAGGGACACGCCTACACATATATGACCTTTCCACGTGGTCTCAACACGCTCTCATTCCTAGCTACCTACCTACCTGGTTTGGTTCTATATACTATATACATGTAATGTTGGAATGTCAGTCCTACTCTGTACTACTTATATGTCACCAATATTAGCTTTTTGATACCCACTTTCATTTTCCCTTCCTTGCTAACTCAGAATCTGTATAATGGTTGGCCCTTTTTCTTCTCATTTTACAGAATTATCTTAAATTGCAATTTTGTTTCGCTAAATCAGTCAAATTTCCTCTCAATAACTCAACAAATCAAAATGATCAATACATCGAATAGTAAATTCAACCCTGCAACACCAATGTAGGAGTAATTATGTATGGCCCAAACAGACTAGAGGAGTTCAGTGCTGCACTGTTCTAATGTTTCCAACCACCATTATCCTAAGCTCGTTTGGGTAAAGTTAGTTGAAACGATATTATGTTTTTGTTAGAAGAAAATGAAAGGAAAAAGAGGCAAAATGGAGAAGATTTTTCGCCCCCCTCAAAAAAAGATTCTGTTTTCCTCTTAGAAGTAGAAGAAGAAAATGGTTTTTTTTTTTTTTTTTTTTTTTGAATAAATAAAAGTAAATAATAATAATAACAATAATAATAACTTACACACCCACAAATGCCCACAACCTATAAATTAACATTTCTCTCTCTCCCCGCCATCTTTTTCCCTAAAATGACCAAGGAATACCATAACCTTTCCCTTTTTTCCTTATCTTAATCCGTTATCCAAACAACGAGTTGAGAGGTTAACTATATCTTTTCCTCTCTCAATTAATGCCGTCATTCCTTCTTTCTGTCCTGCTTTTCCCAAATGCACATCCATGCTGTCTATGTTTGGGACTTACTTTTCACCCCAAATCCAAGGGAACGCAGAAATTAGAGCCCTTCTGGATTTCCAATTAACTGCAAATAGAAAATTGGAAGTCCTTGCAATGCCAATTGTGTCAAAAAAAAAAATATCAAGCATAAAAAAAATAATAATAAAAAATCAAAATTCAACAATCCAAATTTCAAATTATTAGGCGAATGGGCCAGCAGTAGCAAGGTTGTGGGAACACTTCTTTACATTGTGGGAACGCTTCTTTGCATTGTTCACCACATCAACTCCATGAACATGGGAAATAGAGTACGAAAGTGCACAGGACTAAAGCCCTTATTTTCAATTATACAAATGGCAGTGAAAAATCAAAAAATGAATGATCCTGCACCTTTCGCCTCTCTTTCAACAATGTTGGCTTCAAGCTTCAACATCAATTCCACTGCAGAGCCAAGACTGCAAACCAATTAAACGTTGCTGTCTGTAATGGCCAAGAGATAAAAAGAATGCATTAAATGAGGTCAACAGATACGAAGTCACCAATCATATTATCAACAACCTATTGAAATTTTGCAGACATTGCACAAGAGTTACAAAGACTTAATATTCCAACCTACCTAAATAGATGGAATCCTTTCCACAAGGCTTGCGAATAGAAGGTAGGAAACCAAAATACAGACATCACTTGGGAGATTTATCAAGCCATAACATCAAGGTCTGAATGATTATTTTTTGGTTATTTACATAGTGGTAAATATGTCACGAAGAAGACATGAAGAATGTCCACATGTTCAATGATACAAATATATAATATTTCTGTTTTTCGTTTCAAATATATCCAATCATTGCAATATTAGCACTGGCAAGTCTCTGAACCATCTAGTGGCCCAGATAAAACAGACTGCCATCAAATATGGTATGCAAATGCTCGCTTTTTGACTCCATGTAAAAATCACGAGAAGTAAATTATTATTAAGTACCTTGCAATCCATGTCAGAATCATGAAAAGTAATTTAATAATTACCTTACTGGTATTATAGAAGCAGCAAAATATCCTCCGTCAAAGCCATATCATCTAACAACTCGGAGAATGTTGTTTTGAATGCTACCCATGGTAATCGATTCTCTCTGAGGATCAATCTTCCAATGGCCATCAACAATGAATTTTATCTGAAAGTTCAAAACATGTCAAGATCAGAATATTATTAATGAATGGATGAAATCCTGGAAAGTACACTGTAGAGTTATAATGATATGACACATTTTTAAGAAATCATAAATGCTTTATTATTTCCTTTCCTTTTTCCATGACCATAAATATTTCGAAACACGTGCGCACACACGCAAACAATCATTTATATTTCTTGTTTGCTTAGCCTTTCCATTGTACAATTATACTATAGAAAGACAATTTTGTATTGTGTTTAAAATAACAAGCAAGGTCTTGATCCGGTAGGTTGCCTTAGAAATAAATCTCAATAAAGGATGGTCGGTAAATGCACTCACATATACACAGTTGGCTGGACCAAATCCAAAATAGTATAGGAGTGAAAGACAGACATTTAACTTGTTCTGTCTTGTTCAATGACTAAAATTAAAGCCAAAAAGTTGGTGTTGTTCATCTTTCTTCTTCATTGCTACTCTATTGCATCATTCCAGTTATATCAGTGTTTCCAAGGAGACTTCTCCACTATTTCTCCAAACCTCAAAGACATCCCTCGTTTTAGATGTTTCCTTCCTAAGAAAAGAAGAAAGGGCAATACTACAGGGGCAATACTACAGCTCGGGAATGTAACTCATGGTCTAAGCATTGATATATACCCGTGAGGAAATAGAATTAAATCTAAAAATAGTATAGAGCGGAAGCCAGACATTTAAATTGTTGTTAACTATTCAATGACAAATAAAAGCCAAAAAGTTTGTGCTGTTCATCTTTCTTCTTACACCATTGCATCATTTTAACTCTATCAGTGACTCCAAAGAGACTTCTCCATTCTTTCTCAAAACCTAAAAAATGAAAACATCAGGAAGTTCAAAACCAACCTCCCAACCAACACACAAAAATATCCAATTATACCTTAGAACTTGGAAGAGATGACTTAGGTAAGAACAAAAAAACAAAAACAAAACAAAAATACTCATGTTGGGTCATATATTCATTTTCTGTATCCGCTCTTCCTTCGTCATGTGCTCCTTTCCTCAAAGAGAAAAGGAATTTAAAAATGAAAGAGAGAGAAAGAGAGAGAAGATTTTTATTTTCTGCACAGATATTCAACAACTGAGACAAACTGATAAGTATAAAAATCAGAAAAAAAAAAAAAAAAAAGTGATGCATTAACATCAACCATGGTCAATGCAGTGATGAACAGTCAAAGTTGACCCATGATGTATTTTACAAGATGGATTTTCACAACTACAGGAATGTGTAGTTGGGATTTCTTGAGGCAAACTAGCAAGCACCAAATCAGTAAATGCTGATATCTGGATATGCAACACAATTTGTCTTGGTCAATACAGTGACAAACATCGAAATTAGACCATGATGTTTATTTTAAACGAGGGATCTTTTCCACAGTTGTGGCCAGCTTGAAAGCAATCCAAGGAAAAATGCCCAGAAAGATGGTTTCATGATTTAAAGAATATTGGATGCTTAATTTTAGAGACCAATAGAACTCTATCTGCCTTGTTTGGTTGTGAACATGCCATTGTTCAACTACCTAATGTTTATCAGTAGAGCTTAATAATTTACGGTAATATAAAATAACTAGTAGAATGTAGATTTTCACACCTCATATGTTCCAGGATAAAGCCACAACACTGTCGTCCAAAGTCCAGATTTCCTGGCATAACTGTCACAAAATGAGTTTGTAATTTTAGTACAAGACTGGACAGAAACTGTAAAGTAATAAAATAATAATAATAATAATAAAATAAATAAAAAGGAAAGAAAGAAGGAAAGAAAATAAAGAACACAACTAACCCGTGGAAAGCTTGAAAACTCAATGCTATGAAGAGAAATATTATTGACAGAAAAAGATGACAAAGTTGCTACAGTTTAACCTTCCTGACTGTATGGAGCATAAATGCATAAATGGTTCATATAGGTTGTCCTAGTCATCAATATCAGCAATCTATAAGCCCACCCTAGTCAATCTAAATAAAGAAATTGTTGATGTTAAAATCAGATCATTCTCATGCCAAAACAAGAAGAAGGAAAAAAAAAAAAAAAAAAAAAAAAAAACATTCACTTAAAAATGAAAAAAAATAAATAAGAGAAGATAACAGGGTCCATAAAATGTCATCAGAACTGACATTCCAGTGCATAAATACTAGTACGAAATTGGTTTTGGACCTATCTACTCCACATTTGACCAGAAAATATGCAACTAATATTTCAATTAGAAAAGTGTATTACTGATTCAAATGACTTGTCTCACTCAATTGTTCTGGCTCACCTTTTTGGGCAGGCATGCTTGTGAACTCTGGGCCCATGGGGCTGAGCAATTCCTAAATTTACAAAAATCCGTCATACATCTGTGTGAACCAAACTAAGGTATAGTAAAAATCCTATCCCAACCCAATAGCTATGATTTTTATGTCATCAGGATGGGTCTGTCTTTATGTGTTTATTTGAGGGTTGGCTAATGTATTTATACCCAAAACTGGGCAGTAGTGCTTGGACCTGCCCTCACACTAGAGGGTTGGGCAGATCTATTTTAAGCCAAAGCTGAGCCTGATAAGGCTCTGTCCTGGCCTCGCACACACAATTCTAGCATGTTTGACACGCTGGCCTAGATTGGCCTACGGCTGCCCCTAGCTAGTTAACTTTAGATTAATATAGATTCTGGGTTGAAAATTGATAAAACAACGAACATCATCAAAGTTGCACCCATGGTAGCACTTAGACTAAATCAGAAGGATATACATATCTAGGTTACATCAAGCAAGGTTCCCGCAGTTTCAAACAGGCACTTAGGCTAACTTCTCTTTAAGGTGACTGCCTAATATATGTTGTAGGAATAAGAAGAACCATTTTGAATATCATAAAAAATTAAGTGTATCTTTGTTACCAATTTACCGTGTTTGTGTCCCTAGTATTTATTGATTTGTCGTATTTCGTATCCTGTGTAAGTGTACAGGCTTCAAAGATATGCAGCATAAGACCATTGAATATACAACACGGAAAATCTAAATTGCCATAAAATATTCTAGACTAAACAAATGCTGAATCAAAAAAATTTAACATCCCACCAACTCAATACTATACACTAGTGGAAATTATTAGATCTGTGTAAGCCTAATGATTGGGACTATCTATTAATTTGATCACATGATCTTCGTCCTAAAGTATTATCTAACCCACAAGGTTGTGTGCAAGGTTCAATGAGGGGTCCCTAGGGAGAGGTATTCTTCATTCAGTTGGATAGAAAAATGAAAATAAAAAACACAGACAATCCTGCACACAACAGCCAATGATTTTATTGATCTACCAAGCTTGTTGACAAATTGACAGCATCCATGCCTATTCTTACATGCAAAACAAAATGTGTAGAGAGATTTGAAAGAGAAAAAAATAAAATTCCCGCTTCTCTTGCTCAGATTGTGTCTGTGAGCCAACACAAAGACATGGTTCAAGCACTTGTGAACTTAAAAACCACAAAATCTCCCCAGGATAATCTGAGGAGGAGGAATCAGGTGGTGGTCAATCACTATTACATGTGTTTGTGTAATGAGGAGTCTGTTGATCACCTCCTTTTACATTGCAGCATGGCCAGAGATTTTTGGGATTTGATGCTTCGATTATTTGGGGTCCATTGGGCCATGCCTTATACCTCTAGAGGGTTGATTGAGGCTTGGAGAGGCGTCTCTGTTGGGGCTGGCGAGGCTTGGAGAGGCGTCTCTGTTGGGGCTGGCGTTAAGGACGCTTAGAGGGCTACGCCGCTTTGTATCTGGTGGTGTATTTGGCTTGAGTGAAATAGGAGATATTTTGACGGAAAAAAGAAGCATGTTTCTATGCCTAAGTTCTATGTTATTTCTACTCTTTTTTGTTGGGTTTCAGGGAGAGATTATAGATCTATAGAAGAAATTATTGTTTTCTTGGCCTCTCTGAAAGTCTAAGGCGCCCTTTGGCCCTTTTGTTTTTTTGGGCTTCACTCCCCTTTTGAGCGTTTTTAATAAAATCTTACTTATCAAAAAAAAAAAAAAAAAAAAACCACATAATCTCATAGTGTTGACAACATGACGTACAAGAGTAGTACCACTTAGCCTAGTAGGTGAACAATTAAGTAAATGAATATGAAGATATCTTGAGCCTTTAGAAACAAAAGAGTTTGTACAGAGATAATTACATAAACAAATGAGAGTAGGAGAGCCATATATTCATGGAAAGAAGGCCTGAAAAACTGTCTAAATGAATGAAAGGGAATAATAAGATATTAACTAAGAAGCCCTTACCCAATACAAATTTATAATTAAAAATTCATTAAACTGAGAGAAACAGACTTTGAAGACAGATTTAGTTACTAGACAGAGAAAGGAAAACAACAAAAGGATAGGTTTGAAAAAAGAAAAGAACCTTGATCCAATAGAGTCTAAGATACTTGATGATGGCTGTGGGTCCATTTTAATTTGATGATGCCAACCATTAAAGCTACCTGCCACCTCCACGGTTTCACCTTCACCCCAGTACTGAATTTTAACCTAATAAAATTAGGAAATTTACTACCTTCAGCGCAATGCCATAGAGGAAGTCCAAAACAACACTACGTTTCAATGTTTATACAAAGAGAGGTGATGAGAAGCTATAGAAAATAATTGCAAGAAGTAATTGTTTACCATACTAGAACTCAAGTCATGACCAGTTGTTGACTTTAAATAATTAATTAGTGGCAAAAAGTAGGGAATCAGGAATTTTAGAGTGTTGGAGAATAATTATCTCCTTGACAGAATGTTAAGTTGCTATACTTGGGCAACAAGTTGTTGCCATATTTGTATTTGAGTATCTGTGTAATTCCTTTATTATAGCTACAAGTCTTGCCCAATTCACCTATAAATAGAGGTGGTTATTGTAAACATAATTAAGAGAGAAAGTAATGAAAGAGATGTAGCCCTTTCGGCTTTGTGTGTGATGGATGTAAGCCCTAGTGGCTGAATCACATTATATCTATGTGTTCTTCATGTTTTAATTTCTCTCTTCAACTTTTATTTTTCTTTCAACATGGTATCAAAGCAGGTTTATAATACCCTACTTTATACTCTACTCGTCTCGGATCTTCAAATCAACTCGTCTCGTCTCGGATATCTAGATCAACTTTCAAGTTGGACACTTGAGTTAAATATCCGTGTACCAACTTGAGGGGGCTGTTGGAGAATAATTATATGAGTAATTTTAGCCCTTAAATCACTCCTTGACAGAATGTTAAGTTGTTATACTTGGGTAACAAGTTGTTGCCATATTTGTATTTGACTTTCTGTGTAATTCCTTTATTATAGCTACAAGTCTTGCCCAATTCACCTATAAATGGAGGTGGTTATTGTAAACAAAATTAAGAGAGAATGGAATGAAAGAGATGTAGCCCTCTGGGCTTTGTGTGTCGTGGATGTAAGCCCCAGTGGCTGAACCACGTTATATTCTTGTGTTCTTTATGTTTTATTGTCTCTCTTCAACTTTTATTTTTCTTTCAACATAGAGTATAAGAGATTTAGTTTTTGGTACTGTACGAGGAACTCTTCTACCAACGTTTTAGCAAGGCAAATTTTGCAAGCAAACCTTGAAGCAAATAATGCACCATCCGAAGTTCTTATAGCCTCATAATAAGTACTCCTCGTGAGAGTAATTGAAAATGAATGTGAATGAATGAGTTGTAACTAGAAAGGATAAAATTACAAATAATTACACTCATGAAACGGTTGAAATAACATCCAAAGATAGAATGCTGGAAAATTGACAAAAATGCTTTGGCCATGTACTGTGAATACCACTATACCAGTATTAAAAATTTAAATAAAAAGACCAATGAAGAAGAATAATATAGCTCACACTAAGGGTAAGGCTAAGGGATAGAGAAAATCAAAACCAACATGGGTTGAGATAAATAATAAAGAAATGATATTACCTCGGATGGAGCTGAATGATCAAACATAATTTATGTACCCAATCCAAAGTAGTTAGGACAAGGCTTTGTCGACTTGAATTGGGAATGTACTCCTCAATTAAATTTAATAATATATAATTACCTCCTTAGATTGACAGGACCAACACTAAACACTGGCCTTTTTAAGTGCACCCACGTATCGATAAAATATAGAAGTTGACAATCTAGGCCTCCCCATATCTGGAGACTAACCTAGGCTGTTCCAAGATGCTTCAGCCACAATAGTAAAAACTAAAAACAGTAAAATGCAAACATAAAAAGTAACAAGTAGAAGAGTAGAGGACGTACCTCCTCAAGTCCAGAAAGGCTTTCTTCCGTAGCAATTAATTCTGAATCCTTTTCTAAAATAAGTTTCTGTGCTTTGCTTATCTCTGTTTCTGCCTTGGTTTGCAAAATTGACAAGGCAAGCTGAAGGTGAAAATAAAATGAATGTTATTCCCAAAAAGTTATAAAACCCAAAAAAAATAAAAAATAAAAAATAAATGAACAACTCGGTCAGTGTTGTTAAAGTCGCGCCCAGGCTCGAGGATCAGGTTTAGCGCCTGTTGTTTGTGAGGCCTCACTGATATTTGTTTAAAAAAATACGATTGTTCTATTTCTTAAGCCAAAAAGGGTACTTTTGGCAACTTAATAAACAAAAAAGAAAGCCCAAGCATACGATAGAAGGAACTTTTGTACAAAAGAATAAAAAAATAAAAAAGCCCAAGAGTCAAAGTGTTAACTGAACAACGATAGAATGAGATTGTGAGACGAAGACAAAGCCCTAGTTGCAGAAATGAACGACGAAGCCACGTCAGTTCTTTCTTTCTTTCTTTTTTTCTCTCTTCTCCTGTAGATCTCCCCTCTCTTCTTATCTTTGTTTACATCCCTCTCTTCGTCTAGTTCTCTTCTCTCTGTGTCTCTTTTTTTTTTTTTTGGCTATGTTTTTTCTCTTTTTTTTTCTTGTTAACAATTTTTTTTTTATTTTTTTGGTTAACATATTTATTTCTTTTTGTGCTTTGTTTTACCATTCAAAAAAACACATTTTGCTTTGCCTTTCAAGAAAACAAATTTGTGCTCTATTTTATGGTTGTTGGATGCTTGTATAGTTGATGGATTTACTTTTTTATATTTGATATTAATTTTTACAATATTGATATGACTTCTTTTTTTTTTTGATAAGTAAACAATATTGATGACTTATGAGATATGAATGTTATTATGGTAGTTTAAATTTTCAATTGTGCGCCTCACTTCACTCAGGCGCGCGCCTTGGGCCTTTAATAACACTGAACTCGGTGTTAATGAACATTTGTTACAATATAAATAAATAAATAAAAAGGCTAACCCAGTGCACGAGGGTCAAATGTACGCAGCCTTACCTCCGCATGCGGAGAGGCTATTGCCTTTAATTTGAACTCGTGACTCCGAGGTCACAATGGAACATTTGTTAACTTAGGGAAGTACTGTGCATTGTGCAAAATTACAGAACGCAATATGCAATATTACCGAACGAAAGGTAAATTGCACCCCCCACCCACACACACAAAAACCAATTGTGTTCGATTGCAACACGATTAATGGCCAACTTTTTATAAGAACCAATTTAGATGATGGAATGAACAGGAGTTTCAAAATTACCATTATACCCCTATTTCTGCATATAATTTCTTCTCCCTCTCAATCTTCACATTTATCTAAAACCCTCACATAATTTGCCATCCATTAACAAGGGTGTCACTAGATATCTATGAATAATATCAAAACAATTTATTACATACATATATACAAAGAGACACACACATTTCTATAGAAAGTGAACCACTGGCGATCAAGCACAGTGCCATTAAAGTAAAGTTGCAGCTAAAGACCAAAAATTCAAGTCAGGTACTGTTTGGAAGAAACAATCTTACTTTTTAACTGCACATGAAATGTCAGGTTCCATGCTATTCATCAAGTAAGCAAAGAGATATACCAGAATCCAGCTCCAAAGGAGGTTATAGAATAGCATTTAGTAATTATATAAATATACAACTCAATATATATTATATGCATGCTCAAAAGTAAGTAACGAACACCACTATTCGAGGAGGATATGTATTGCTGAAGTATATTGTCACGAAAAATTCTAAAAATGTTTCCAAAAGTATCCATGTTTGCTATTACAAACCATGTAAGCGTAAAGATAAAGCAATTATTTATATAATTCTATGGTGAGAATTGACTGATATAGTCCAAATTATGATAAAATACCTTTTCCTTTTCGATCTGTTCCTTCAACCGAGACAATTCCAGTTCCTTCTGATGCTAAACACATCAAACAATAAAAAGATAATAATAAAATTAATTATTTATAAAAATTATCTAACATATCACCATACAAAGGCAGAAGTTCAACACAAGTAGGCCACAAGTTCTATGAAGATTGGTACCAGCATGAACTTGAGATGATTAATTTCGACTTGATTCTCCCTTTTTCTTGCCTGTATTATAATAACACAATAGCAAGGGATTAAGATTTCAAAACAAGTAACAATGGAAAATGAATACTCATAACACAGTATACAATAATGACCTCAACTTCCAAATTGTCATCATTCTCAGCAACTAATAGTTCTTCACTTGAAAAGTGACCATCCCTACAAAAATTCCATTGACAAAAGGAATGCACTTAGGTGAGAGAGAGAGAGAGAGAGGGAACTCTTTAAAATGCAGAGAGTGTGAGAGAAAATGAAACTGACAAAAGAATAAGTCCATCATTCTATTGTTCTCTAACTCAAAACTTATGTGCTGTTTGGACAACAGAAAACAGAAGTCCAAAACAAAGTAATTGGGAATTTTGTTAGGTAAGATTCGTTTTATTTTCTCTCTGCTCTTTCTTGGTAACCAAACAGAACCTTTTATAGTTCTATAAGCATCTATATAGAGTGTAATTTACCTAAATAGTTAGAACAAGGCTTAGTTCTACCGACCAAAGTTTACACACACATCAGGCACCCAATTCAATTATTATGAAGTAAAAAACACAAGTGAAGTATCATTAGAATCATAATTTTTTTTTTAAGCGAACTAATACCAGCACTATCTAGAAGGGCTAGCCTAATGCACAAGGCCCCCACCATTGCAAGGCCCGGGGAGGGTCAGTCGGTAAGATGAATGCAACCTGACCTCCGCATGGAGAGGTTGTTTCCGGTTTCAAACCCGTGACCTCGAGGTCATAATGGAGCAACCTTACCAGCACTATCTAATCATGCTTAAATTGAAAGTTGCTCATTTTAGGACCAAGGAATGAAAAAATCAAGCTATAAATAGGGCAATATTGTTAGATATCAAGGTACTAACTTCAAAGTTCTGTTTCCTGATGCAGGAGGCATCATCCGTGAGGACATCAATGTACTTCCCTTCAGTATCTTAGCAGCATCGTTTCTGCCAAGCACATGATGAGGGTGTTCTTCACCAAGGGAACTTGATTTAAATTCAGTGACATTCTCCGACTCAATAAAGCCTTCTTCAGCACCAGTCTCATTTAAAATGCCAAATCCATTATCTGAACATCAAGTAGTTGTACATGCTTAACTTCAAATTTTTAAGGCACCAACATGTAAATAACAACATGCTCATCTATATTTACATAGTAAGGATGTACTTGTTAAAAAATAATGACATAGTAAGGAAGTATAAAAATGGTTCCATACCAAATTACCAAGGTAATTTACTGATGCTTGGAATAACGTACCATTATAAAAAAATAAGAAGCTCACTTCCCCAAGGATGGGGAACACATCTTTTCTGATAAGTAAGAGATACCATTCAGACACCATAGAGGATAAAACCCATGCACATATTATGAATGCAGCCATACACAAACCACAAAATCTAGACTCACTCATGGTAAATAAAATGTCAATCTTTATGGAAAGAACATATGTTGTTGTACAAATAAGAACTATTTACAGTATTCAACATATTGACAATGGAATTCATACTTTGCATCATTATTTCCTCTCATATTTAAACAAAAATGAATGAAAATAATAATAGTAACTGTGGAATTGTGAAGTCCACATGTTAACAATAAAGGGGTTACAAGCACTTGCAATTCTTTTCCAATTTTAATTTAACTTTATCATGATGTTCTCTCAAATTTGGAAGGTAAGGTGGGACTGAGCAATGCCTCCTGATGTTTAACAGACCTGATTAAGACAACCTAACTATATGAGGAATAATGACATGTTGCTATCAAGCCTCCAGATCTTCCTAGTGTCACCTTATGTCCCATTGCCCAACTGTAATAAGCTAATGGGACTTACCAGTTACCCCATATGATGTCCTTTTCCGCTGTTATGCATCAGTGTGTGTACATTGGCAACCATAAACCGCTTACATAGTGGCATGCATTTCTCCATCTGCATAACTGTGGCCCATATTTCCCATATAGTGACTGGTAGTTATTTATTAAGATTAAAAAAGGTAAGACACGATGAAAAAAAGACGAAATGAAATGATAAAAAGTTTTAACTTTGCTGCATAAGTATAACAGATGTTTAAGCAGAAGAAACAAATGCCTAGATACACAGCACCATTTGAGAAAACCCAATCTTAAGAGATAGAAAACAACGATCAGATAAATATAACAGACCAAGACGGGGGGATTTATCACCTCCTCCTAATTTTTAATGCAGAGAAGTATATATATATATATTAAAGCCTAACAGCAAGGAAGGGCTAAGATTCATAGAACCAAAATCTTAGCTATAGCCATTCAATGCCCAGCAATAATCCATTGCATGTTCAAAACTTACCTAGGTCTGGGATTCAAAAATCCTTTTAAGCAATCTTGTTAATGCACTCCCCTCTCCAACTCCCCAACACCCAAAAGTATAAGGGAAAAATGTTCCAGTCTCTAAAAATTAAAAAGGCTTTTATGGGAAAGTTACACTCTCCTCTAATTTATTTCCATGTTCTGGGCAGTAAAAACAAAAATCTATGTTTGAACTCTGCCCATCTTTGTCAGTACTTGATAATTATACTATTTTTTTAATACAATGTTCCTTCATTTCCGAGTAAGACACCTCATATTTGCATGGAAAGCCAACACTAACTCCTTCTGTACAGGCAACATCAATTATTGATAAACCAGACATAAAACATGTTATTCATGTACTTACCTTCAACTATGTCCAGCTCCCCATTCTGAATAAATTTTGCCACCTTTTCTTGCAAAGATGTATTGGTTGAAATTTCTAGAGACGTGCAACTTTTTCCATCGGAGTTAAGTGGGTGATCAATATTTGCTCCATTCCCATTTTTTATATAGTTTGATGTGGCAGAAACTTCACTTGACAAGGAAACATCTTCAGCCATATCTTCCACCTTCTCATCCTGACCTTTTACGAGTGTATAAGGCTCTCAATAAAAATAATTACTAAAAATGTGTTTATTTCAAACCACTAAATGACACAAAATATATATATATACATATATATTCTCTTTTTTGGATAAGTAATGGCACAAAATATTGAAAAAAGTGTATTGACCTGTTGGTTGATCTCCACAATCACTGGTTGCATCTGGTTTTTCAGCTACTTCTACTACATCAGATCCATTGGAGTCTGTCCTTGTTGAGGCTGAAAGAAGTTTTCTGATAAGTTTATATCCTCTTCGTCTGACAATGTTTGCAAGGTCTTGCCTATAGAGTTTATTGTTAAGAAAAGGAAAGGACATGAATCAAACTTGGAAAGTATTTCTCCAATACTCGAAATATTTGCGAAATAAGAATTTTCCAGCTCAAGAACAATATTTGTTTTCTGTAATAATTAATTAACATACAAACATAAAATAATATATTTATGATGCATAAACAAATACATCACCTTATTTCTATTTCATATATTCTGTGTACATCCTACTTAAGATGAAACCCCATCTTGACATATAATCTAAAATTAAACTATCAGTCCTCACTCTAAATTTCTCTTTCTAAATACAAACAGTAAGTTTATCATAACTAACCATCCAAAAAGAGAAATAAAAAAATAAAAAAAAAAGGCGTTTATCCATAAAGGATGTGGAAAATAAAGGAAAAAGCTCAATGTTAACCTTTTGATGTAAGCCTATTCTGATGAAATGTCATATGTCTCTCCTCTAGTTGTTCTAATGATTGTTACCACACCATTAATTTCCTTACTTAAACCAATTTATATAAGTGATACCACTTTGCTTCTACAATTTGATATATTCTCTCTCTAGGAACTCGGCCATATGCTTTTTCTAGGTCAATGGAAACTATGTGAGAACTCATTTTCATCTTTATGCATTCCCACTGATTGCCAATACACGAAATAATAGGTCTTCTAGCTGTGTACTCCGGTTAAAACTGCAGTGATTAGAGTTTGATTGTGATTTTATGTCTTGTAAAATAAAAGTTCATATTTTTTTTTTGTGAATCATTTTCAATTATATGCCACCTCAAATATCAATCCTCTTTATTTCTTCAATAAATGTACATGGTAGTCCTCTTAGTTGTCCACAAGTCTAAGTCCTTGTCCATTTGAGTCGAGTGATACATAAAACAGTTTGACACTTCAACCTAGATCTGATAGTTCAAGTGCAAGTTACAAGAGGTTTCTGCCACTAAATGCCGGACACCAACCACCTAAACCCACTGCATATAGAATAGTAGAATACCATCCCAAATTGACTCAATTTGATCTTTTGGAAGCAATTGCTATCAGTAAGCCAACCATTGCTCATTGTTGGCTAAAGTCCAAAGGTTTTCTAGTCCTATTTTAATTACATGCCTTGTCATATAAGTATCATTTTTGATGAAGACAAAAATAACTCTGATACCAAATTGATGCAGGAGTCGGTGAACTCTGATGCAAGAGCATAGAAGCAAAAGGAGGAGGATATAATAAATTATGGCAAACTAAATATGAATAATTCCTATGTATCAAAACCATATATATAGGCGAACCCTAAATAAAAAATTTGTAAAAGATTAACCCTAAAATAAAAAAATTTCAAAAGTAAGGAAACTAAAACACCCCTAATATACCAACAGGCCAGTGGTCTAGCAGTACTACGTCCCTACTTCCCTTAGGGTTCGAGCCTTAGTGGAGACATGTGTGTGTGAGTACCAACTAAAAAAAAAATAAAATAAATAAAACAACCCTAATATATTGAATTTTTTTTGGTTGTAATTTTCCTTATTTTCAGTTATATACCTTTGAAATTTTACCATTGCCCCTCTGAAATTATAAAAAAAAAAAAAAAATTCACTTTTGCCCCCCTCACTCAATATCCTGGCCTTCCTGGGTCCGTCCCTACGTCTATCTTTGCAAAGCTTATTTGTTCAATAGTTTCTCATTATATTGACATTGATGACAGCATTAATCCGACTCATGACCAATAACAACGCAAGCAATCAAAGATTTCACAGAATTAATCCGCCTAACATCAAAGCAAATCACCAGAAACACCAAGACATATGAGATAAGAAACCAAAATAAAAAAGACGGTGAATAAAATCAAAACCTTCCATGGTGCGAAAGCTCCTTCATGGAAGGGACGTGATCTTCTGGAAGTCCAACCGCAGATAGAAATTGCCGGATATCACTGCATAGCTCTGCATCGCTTCTCACTTTCTTACTGGCCCTACATTACCACAAATTATCAAATTCCATAAATAATTAGGAGAAGCAAAACACAAACATATAATATATATATATATGTGTGTGTGTGTGTGTGTGTGTAGAAATGCATTCGAAACAAAAAAGAACCTGGGTTTACTGATTGAAGAAGCAGAAATTGTGAGGCGGAGAGGGCAGTGATAGTGACGTACGTTGAGAGAGGGAAGAGGGAAAGAGAAGTGCTTATGGGAAGAGAGAAAGAAGCAGCCTGGGAAGTGAGAGAGGGTCGCCATTAAGGATAAGTGCGAGCTCTTGAGAGGGACTTCGAAGCATTGAGAGGTGTGGATTTTAGGGTTTCGGAGAGGATGGAATTATACAGAAAATGTAACGCCTACAATGATTTTTGTCCTGGTTTTCAATTTGGGGAGTGGGACTTCAACAAATTACTGAGACTGCGTTATCGAATGCATATAGTCCTTTTAGCCTTTCTTGGATGGTAAATGTTTCTTTTCACAAATATTTTTTTGCGGAGACAAAGGTATGAATCAAAAGAAAACCTATATAATGACAATTTTTTTTTTTCCCCCAAGTTATAATGAGGTTGAAAACTTTTTCACAAATATTGTTTTGGGGACGGACAAAAGATATGGTGAACAAATGAAAAGTTATAAGGAGTATTTTTTTATTTTTTATTTTTCGAAAACTTTAATGAGATTATTATTGGGTTATTGATATAATAATATCACATAGTGGCAACATAAATGAGGTGGCTCATACATTAATATTTTGTGTTCAAAATGTAATAATTTAAAGAATAATTCATGACAAGAACTATGAGACAAAACATCATGATTAAGGACTTGGTTATTCAACTTATTCCTATCCTTGCTAAATCGCCAAAGAATGACGGTAAGTATATAACAAATTGTGAACAAGTAAAAAAAATTAAAAAAAAAACCTTCTCAAACGATTAATGTACAACAAAACAAGTTATAAAAAAAAATGAAATGGAAAGAGAAAAGGTTGCCTGCAAATACAAGTATATGCAATACATTTAAAAGTTAGAGTATCTCCAATCGTTGTCTATATTTTTTTTATTTTATAAATCTGATGTGTAATGATGAATTTATAAAAAAAAAAAAAAAATTATTTAATTTTAACTTCAACAGTTGTTTTATACCTTTTGTATAAAAATATATCCCCAATAACAACTAATCATGTATCATGCGAGGACCCACATAATTTTTACAAACTAACTTAATTTATGGTTGATTGATTCTTTAATAAAATGAGAAAAAAAAGATAAGAAATGAAATATGTTAATCTGACCTTACACATTGGTGATGTGGCAATGTATCTCAACAGATTGCTGAAAATAGAAAAAAATTACACAGTGTATTTACACAAAAAAATATTTTAACATACCGTTAAAAATGCTCTTAAAAGGGAATAGATATAAAAGTTAGATTAAATTTTTAGTTCGAATTGCTCACACCCTATCCAATCACAATTAAGTTTGTTGAGTATTTTTAGTTCAAGCCCAACTAACAAAAGACATAATTATCCAAACTGGTGATAAAAATTGGGTTAGACTAGAGTTAGATTTGGGTTGGTTGGGTCCAAATGCAATCCTACTCAAAATAGACTTCTTGTGTCACTAAAAGTTTTTAAAATTTAAAAATAAATTGTAAATCAGAAGGTAGTACAGAAATTTAATCTGCCATCAAATTTCAATATTTTAAATTTAGATTAGGCAACAATTAATGGGGGTTACATCGACACCTGCCATTTTGGTCATAGCCCACCGCGAAGGGACTTTTGTTATATTAGGCCTGATGTTCAGTTTTTCTGGGCTATTGTGGCCCATAACCCATTAACAAGTACAGTGCCATGAGGTGTATAGCCCTATACTTGAAAGGACAAACATCAACGGTCAAATCAAGATCGTACTCGGATCCGGTGATGATCTACAAGGATCAGCCAAGATCTCACTGTTGTGGGTCCTACAGATCAAGATTAAAATCAGGGCTAGACATCTAACCATTCAGTTCTTGCCACGTAACACTATTAAGAGTCCCATCTCACTCTTTGACGTCACCACGACAACAAAGTTCCACTTGTCCTCCAGCCTAGCGTTATCCCGGCTGATTCTCGAATAAGAGACGTACACTCTTTTTTGTTCCTTCCTATCAAACCAATTCCCTGCAACTTATTTTGGAGGTGTCAAAAAATAACTAGTTTTTTTTTTTTTTTTTTTTTTTTTTTTTTTTTTTTGTAGAAAAAGTTTTCCAGATATCACTTTTTACTAAGTTATAGTATTATTATTTTTTTGTTTTTTTTGGGGGGTAAATTACCGAGTTATAGTTTTTGATTGTGTTTTTATATACTCTCAAGTTAATCAACCACACCCTGGTAGCCCATCACATTTGTTTTTTTTTTTTCTTTTTTGGAATTTTAAGCAAATTTATTAAATAAAAGGAAATAATAACATGAGTGGGCCTATGAGAAAACTGGACTTTGATATATATATATATAATGGGTGAAAAATAATCTCAAAAAAACTTTTCAAATTCATCAACAAATGACACATATATAACGTGCATGGGAAATATATCAATAAAAAATTAAAAATTAAAATTAAAATCATTTTCATATGACACGTATATAACGTGAGTGGGAAATTTAACACTAAAAACTTCAGAAAAACAAAAACAAAACAAAAAAATCAAAATCAAAATCACCACAAATATCACACATAAAACATGCATGACAAATATGTACGACAAAAGTCAAAAGGTTTAACAAAAATGACTTAATTCAAAATTTTACATGGCTATGCTTCTTTTAGACTTGACGGATAATCCAATATTTGGAGGAGGAAAATTAATTGGATTACTTTCATCTCCATCGAGTATAGTTTATTAGGATTTATTAAATTTGCCTTTTGCGATTTAATAAAATTTTTATGTGTTAAATCACATAATTTTTCTGAACAAATGTCACTTTTATATTTTGTGCATATTTCGTTCCCACTTTAGTTGTGTGCTCCCGTTCTTAATTTTGCTTTCACCCTTCCTATGTGTGATGTAGCTCATTTGCTATATTAGCGATTGGGCAACCAAAGAGGTGATTTGAATCGTATCATGTATTAGCTAGGTGTCTATTTGTGTGTGTACCCACACTCCACACGCACATAAATAAATATCAATATCAATAGAGACCATGAATCACTGTCGACTTTTAAGTTCAAGTCAATGCAAGTGAAGACGATTGTCTTTTTGCAACTTTTACGTGTATCGTGGGGATGCAATTATTATATATATGACATGATATCCACGCAAGGGACATCTATTTCTGATTTTGGCCTTGTTGTAAAGTTATAATCATAGTCTTTTTTTAAATATTTTTTTATGGAAGAAGTAATCTCTATATTTTTGGGCAAAGCAAAACCTATATTATGTACCAATCAAATTTTGTTAGGTGATCCTACTTAAACCGATTTTGTTCTCTTCATCTACTAAAGAGTACTTATGGTCTCACTAACTTACCCAAAAAATAATAATAATAATAAAATACTTTGTAGGGCACATATATATGTTATGGTGTAGATGAACTAAACCTTGGCATTTTTTGTTTTGTAATTATCCTAGTTACAAATGCTTAATCTAGCAAAATAATCCATTTGATAATAATGTTTGATCCTTTTTTTCTTGAGAGTTTGGCGAAACTCAGTTAATTACCCAACTCAATTCAATAAAACATTTTCCCAATTCATGCCCAGATATAGAATTAATTTAAATTGAGCTCCAGCTATACAAATATTTTTCACTTTTAAAATTAATTATGCAATTAAATCAGGCCACGTTACACACTCACACACACACTTATATTGTATGGTTCTAGGCTTCTAGTAATTTTGTAACACTTACATTAATATTTGTTTGAGAGAATCTCCGGGCTATTGTTGTTTTTTCATGATTTTTCAAGTAAAGATTCCGTGACGAAGAAAAAATAACAAAAAGAGAGTCCATTCACAGGACCTAACTTAGCCAACTTCATTAATTAAGATTTTTGGAATCTCTATTTACGTGTTCATTGTTCTTTCTCTATTCTATCCTTAATTTATAATATATTTGACAAGAGAAAAGAGCTGACTTTAGGTTGTTCTTTCACTTAAATATTCAATTCATTATTCTCTGTATGCATAATTATTGCATTTTTTGAGTATATATATATATATATATATATATATATATATATATATAGTTTTTAAAAAAGATCATGTCATAAGCATATCGGAATCAAAATGCATTATGTAACCACGTAGGTGTAAAGTGATAGACTTACGATATACATGCATCTTGGTTTAATTCGAATGAATTACGAGAAAATTTTAGTATGGTTGTTTCAGTTTTTGTTTTCTAATAATTGAAATAAAAAAATTGTACAACAATTAAAAAAGATCATTTCATAAGCATATCGGAATCAAAATGCATTATGTAAGCACGTAGGTGTAAAGTGATAGACTTACGATATACATGCATCTTGGTTTGATTCGAATGAATTACAGGAAAATTTTAGTATGGTTGTTTCAGTTTTTGTTTTCTAATAATTGAAATAAAAAAATTGTACAACAACCGATTTGTTAGACAGTCCTCTAAGAACTGTTCTCTAAAAACTCTATTTAAAAAAATTTCGAATTTTTATTTTTAAAATTCTTCAGAACGTGACAAACCAAGCAAACTTTGTTTCTTCCAATTCAACATATGTTGGTTTAGTTTGCTGTTTGCTTTCTGAAAATTTTGGGGACAGTGCCACTAATAATGAAGCTTATATTATTATTTTGTCAAAACTTTAAATGTTTAATTATGTTAACGTATGTTTATATTTTTGCATAATCTTTGTTAAAAAATATTAATCAACGTAGAAATTAAATATTTCCATGACTTATATCCATTTGGAAAAATAAAATAAAAAACTAGAAGCATATATTCAGATATAGTATATACACAAACATACATCCATGGAGTACTAGAAGCTTGTTACAACAAAAATGTCAACGAAAAAGATGTTTTAATGCAAACAATCATTGACTTAAAAAGATTAGAATCGATATGGAGAGGATTCATGTGTTGTTAGGTAAGGTAGCATTGCGATAGCTTATTTAAAAAATATAAGAATGTGTGTGTATATATATAAAAGCTTTCAAACTTTACAATCATTTGCAACAAATATCCATTGTTTAGAGACCTTCAACCACCTCATGAATGATCTTTAATTTGAAACGTTGATTGTTCCCACAAGTCAAATTTAGAGGAAGTATGAGGATCTTGGTCCCAAGGAAAATAATGATATTTAATTGATGAAAAATGTACTTTTTAATTTACCGGGAAAAAAAAAAATACTTTTAATCTATTTTTCCAAACATTGTTCTTAGCATATTTGTTTAGATACACTAGCTAGGCATTTGGATTAGGGTCTTATTAAATACTAATAAATTAATGGTAGATGAAGTTGGGGACCAATAATAATATTTCACATGTTCCACACAATGAAGGAGACTGTCATGTGTGAAAGAAAGAAAATAAAGGGGAAAAGAAAAACACCAGTAGATTATTTTTTTCCTCCTCTCTTTGTCTTCTCATTCAATCAACAAGAATCAAACACTTAAATCCCATGACCCATCCTTTAATTCCTTGTAAAATGCTTTTTTTTTTTTTCTGGTAAATAAATTTTATTAAAAGGAGAATCTATATACAAACAAGAAGGAAAAGCCTCAATCCCAAAGAGATTCCTTTTAAAAATGTTGTATTTACACTTAACCACGTTTTAAAAAAAATTATATATATATATATATATCCTTGATCTTTTATTATTATGGTGGTGAAACAATATAGTAATTTGGAATTAAAGCTATAATGTCAAATCACGATTGAATCCACTAAATAATACAAGCAAAGGGTTTTATTCAGAATTAAGAATATTAATTTCTTTTAAGTTTGGTTAATTAATAATTTATTCAATTCCTCATTTATATATGACTCTCAAGTCTCAACCAAACACTGAATTGCAAATAAATATCTCTTCAAAAATATTTTTCCCCATTAGATTGATTCCCTAGTATTATGAAATGCTATACAGAAAGATGGACAACAATGAGAAAATAAATAAAAAGAAGAAAAGAAAAACTCTAATTACTGTAGGGAAAACATTTAAAGACAGAGGACAAAGTGGTCAATTCCTTCTACATGCGGGAAGGAAGAAACGCCTGGAGGACAGTAACACACTAGAACGAATTTTCATTAATTTAATAGTTTTTGTACAAATCTTAAAGGTGGTCCGTAATTTTTAATAATATTTGGTTCTTTCTTTTGGTTGGACATTAATCAACTTTAGTGTAAGCATGGCAAATGTGAGAATCATTTGCGTATCTGTCAAGGTTTTAATGACTCTAATTAAGAGGTTTTAATAAACTATTTTTTATTTTATAATACACGACTTTCAAAATAAATAGTATTACTTTCGTTCTTATCCTTTTAAAAAATTTTCACTCACAATTTTTGTGAATCAATATTATCGAAATAGGCGTTTAATATGAGATATAAGTAATATATAAGTATATAAAAGAATAGTAATGTTCAATTGCTCCCTATAAATAGTGCAAGGATTATATTATATATTAGCCGTAGGATCTAATCATATACTTTTTTTTAAGTATACGCACTTTCATTTATAGTCATAAGATTAGATCATACGGCTAATATATAATATAATCCTAAGAGTACTGTATAAAAGAAATATGACTAAAAATTATCTCAAATAACTCAAAAATAAAAAGTGATGATGAGTCAAAATTTTAAGAATGGACAACTAATATGGGATGAGTGATATTATCATGTACTACATTTTAAATTTTTATTCAGTTGAATTTTTAGTAAATAAAATGATAAAATTACTCGTTAAAATTTATAGCAATGTTTTTTTTTTTTTTTTTTTTTTATACTCAAGAATAGAAAAGAAAAAAAAAAAATCAACATAAAAATTTCATTGCAATGAAAATGTTTTGTCAATAAAATAAATACTATATATGTCACATATAATAATTAATGATGATAAAAAAAAAAATCATTATGAAAATTAAAATCATATACCATGAAATTTTTTATTATTATTGATAATTATTTTGACAAAAACTCATACACCTTCTTTGTAAATAGAAAAAATAATTATTTGATTGAAGAAAAAGTAAAGACAGGAACTATAAAATTATGAAAAAAATTCTAAGGATGTAAAAGTTAAAAACTCTCTTAAACCATCAACCTTTTGCTAATAGCCCCTCACTTGGAAAAATAAAAAATAAAAAATAAATCCTTCTAAACTACTTATAAAAGTGTGCAAATAAAATCATATCTCCGTGCTGCCGTCAATTCGTAATTTTATAAAATTACCAATATACCCATCACTAAAACAATGTGGTTTTGACAAGTTCATTTGGTAATTTAACATTCCAATAAAACTCTGCCATGTATTCTTGATCTGTAAAATTAAAATTGATTAGACCCATACGACCCACCAGAGAATGACAATTTTATTTTATTAAATTTAAAATCTTATAATTTTTATGTTTCCCAGATTCAATTTGATCCAAACATAAAATTTATACATCACTAAAACATTTATATCCATGATTATTGCATGGGCGGTTGCATATGTGGTCCAAGAGCGGTCTACGTATTCTTAAGTGAACATAGTCAAAGCAAATTAATATCACGATTAATCACCAAAATAAAAATAAAAATCTTAATATCACAATAACTTTTTTTTTGGTAAAATATTTTCTCTATTTTAGAAACTGAAACAGGAGTAATTATTCCATAAAAACAATGAATTTAGGGGCATACCGATTTAGTTTGAATCTAGTCATTTGAAGTTTGTATGTAAAATTAATTATGTTTATACATCACCTAATTTGATGGTTGACGTTTCAAGTTTTGTAGGAGTATATATATGTGTATGATCAAAAATAAAAATAAATAAAAAAGAATAAAAATTGTATATGGCACATGACTAATAGATACATATGCATGTGGGTGTCCAGTGATCAAAAAGTAGGGTGATGAGCTTTTCATTGACCAGATGGATGGGAGAGACTATTGGTACGTATTTGATTGGTTGATAGCTACATGCCAACCAATTAAATATAATCATAAAATTTGCCTCATCAGTTGATCTGAACCGTTAAACAAGTTGACTATATATATATACACACACACATATATGTTGATTGAAAAGTGCTGCTTGAATTTTATTGGCTAATTACTGAGTCCTTTGACCAAGAAGAAGCTAATCAATGGACGGCTAAGTTATCCATCTATATATATATATATTTATATTTATATTACTCAAAGTATGCACATAACATGCATAACCACACAACATTTCTTCTTCTCCGTTATTTAGACGTCAGCTGACTGATGCTATTACAGATGATCTTAATTTTGTAAAATTATGAATTAAACCCTTATTGTGTGTGTTCTATAGATAAATATGTGTGTGTGTGTGTGTGTTGTAGACAATGTTTGACATATAATTATATATACTGTTATACGCTCTTCATAGTCATGACTTAGGACTATTACGAGGATTTAACACTAAGACCTTAACTAAACTTTGAGGCATAAATTCAACACTCACATTAATTTCAAGTGCATGAAATTACAAAATATGTCACATGGCCACCATATTCACACATCACTGTCTTTGGAAATTAAATGTACACTGAAACTAAAAGTATATATATATAAATAAAAGAAAACCCCCCATCGCCTTCAAACCACCTAATTGATATCCAAGTATTGTCCCAAACCACCTACTAGTCTTTTTTATGCATGCAATTATATATACAAAAAATTTGCAAACATTATTACGTTATATAGTGACGGACCCAAAAAAAACTTATAAGAGGGAATGACTTTAAACAACAACAATATATGGTATGGTATCATTAGAAATTGAGTGGGGTATTCTTAACATTTTTACAAAAAATAGATATATAAAAACATTTTTTAAAAGTTCACAAAATTTATTGGTAATTTAATAAATAAATAAATAATTAATGGGGGTGGTCACCTCCACTAAGTCCTTAATGGGTCCGTGTCTGTATACCCTGATAATTCATCTGGGATTATAATTGCACCGACAGCATATGAACAATAAGAAAAAAAATATGAAATAGAGAAAGTAACATTTGTAATTCAATAGTAGACATTCAGAGTTTAAAATTCAATATTAAAAAAAATATATATATGTTGAGAGGTTGTCACAAAACTTAATGAGTACAGGGTGTGAAGCATTTTTGATTGAAAATGTTAGTGTTGAACACATTAATTGAAGAAGTAGAATAGTCTTCGTTTGGTTGTCCAAGTTGACAAATGTGTAACCTATGACTTGGCCTAATGCAAGAAAATGTGGAGCAATGGCCCATCCTTGTCAGTTTGTGAATTGTATGGCATTATTTGGGCACTCTTTGGATTCTTTCTTTGGTGAAATAGAAGGGAATAGAGAGACCAAATAAAGGCTATGTACATATAAGGTATTAGAAGGTGGTCTCTGTTGTAGCTAGATATATATAGATGGCATATATAGGATTTGTTTATGATGGAAAGTTCACTTAGCTAATCACATAAGAAAGTTAGACAACTGATGATTGAAATTAGGGAGGGTGTCTTTTGACTTGTACATCTCTCACTATAAACATATACTACTACTTGCTGCTGCTGCCCAAAAACACAAGTCCATCTTCTAAACAAACAAAAGCCACCTTCCCCCACACAGGTAATATTTAGCCCATCTTGAAACAACCCGTGTGTGGAGAGAGAGAGTCTTGTATCTCACAATAAATATATAATTGTTTCTCCAAAAACCAAAGTCTTTTCTATACAAACAAAGTCATCTTCCCGCAGCCATCAAATTAACACATCTTGATTGAGAGAGAGAGAGAGAGAGAGAGAGAGAGAGATGGGAAGAGCTCCTTGTTGTGACAAGGCAAATGTGAAGAAAGGGCCATGGTCACCTGAAGAAGATGCAAAGCTGAAAGAGTATATAGAGAAATATGGGACTGGAGGGAATTGGATTGCTCTCCCACAAAAAGCTGGTAATTACTTGGATTATATGTGTGTGTGTGTGTGTGTGTGTGTATTCATGAAAACTGAAACTCTTTCCTGAAATGGTTTCAATTTGTTAGTTCCTCTCGTGTTTTATATGATTTCTTTAATGATTGGTGTTGTTTGTATTAACAGGCCTCAGAAGATGTGGAAAAAGCTGTAGATTAAGATGGCTCAACTATCTTAGACCCAATATTAAACATGGAGAGTTCTCTGATGATGAAGATAGAATCATTTGCAGCCTCTTTGCTAGCATTGGAAGCAGGTACTTTCATCTCTTCTTTTCCAGTTTTCTTTTACTTTTCCCCTTTAATAAGCTTCTATTAATTCTCATCCTTATTTTCATCATTCTTTCCAAAAATTGTTTTTGGAATATTTCCTTTAAATTTGTCACACCCACTTGAAAATTAATTAGGTTCTCCTTGAAAATTATAAAGTTGGGGCTTAAGGGAAATTAATTATAAAGTTACTTGCTCCATGAATCTACTATTTTTGGACAATTTTTGTGGTAGTTTAATTCCATATATGCATGACAAATTTAGATATCTCATAAATATACCCATTTTTCCAAAGTTCAGGTGGTCAATAATAGCAGCTCAGTTACCAGGAAGGACTGATAATGATATAAAGAACTATTGGAACACCAAGCTGAAGAAGAAGCTACTGGGGATGACTCCCTCTCTGAAAAGACCTCACCACCAAGCTGCTGCTATAACCTACCCATCATCATTATCATTTCTTCATCACACTCCATCATCATCATTATCATCCTATTCAGCACCTTCTACAAGATGCAGCAACAACAACACTTACTATACCAACCCTACTACTACTGCTACTACTACCTCTTTCATAGGTTATCAAGATCATCAGCCCACCATTTCAATCCCATCAAATCTTTTGAACACTTCTACTACGACTACTAAAGTTGTTCAAACCCAAGAGGGGTATGTGGGCCCCATTCATAATTTTCAAGTGAAGGACTGCAGCAGCAGCCTCCTCATGTTTGGAAATGATCAAGCTGCTGCTAGTTGCAGTTCTAATTCTGATGGGAGTTGGAACAACCAGATCAGCCATGGCAAGGATGTTGTAGATCAATATGGTTGTTTCTACAGTGGGGTTGATGAGAACCAGAAGTTCATGATTTCTAATGGTAGTACTAATGCCTCCAATGGGTTGTATGGTGATCATCAAACTCCATTAATAGACTATGGGCTTGAGGAGATTAAGGAGCTTATTAGCACTAATATCTGTAACAACTTCAATATCTTTGTTGATGAAAGCAAGAGTACTTGTGGGGAAAAAGTGATGTACTACTGATGATGCTGACTACTGTAAGTACAATCAGAAGATTTGAAGGGTAAGGTAAGATGTGGATGCATGGGGTTAAAAGATTCAGATTCAGATTCAGACTCAAGTTTGTGGAGGGTTTTTTTTTTTATTATTATTATTTTTTTTTTGGATGATGATGGAACACTTTTTGACAGTACATGGTAAAAAGTTTCCTTTGTGCATTTCTTTTATGGACAAATGATGTTATGTGTTAGGCACAGCTTTTTTTAACTGCACCATTCAGAAATAAATGTCATGGAAACTAGAGAAACATCATTTTCCAAGAATCAAACTTCAAAGTGAAAACATACATGCACTATTTTTTAATGTGGTGGTGGAAGGAGACTGTCAGAATGTCATGGGAAGGTCCCCTCAGGCTCCTCTTGTTGCGGTGGTTCTTGAGGATGTTTCTCATATGCTTAGTGTCTCTCCTGGTTTTGATCTTGCTTGGACCCCTAGGTCTTGTAATGGTGTCGCTCATGCTTTGGGTAAACATGCCCTTAAATCTAAATCTTCTGATTTCAGTTGGGAGGTGTGGCCTATATGGCTCTGTGGTTGAGAAGGATATCCTTTCTCTTCCTGGTTGAGTCCTGTTGTTTTTGTTTTGTGGTTTTGTCTCTCTTGTTGCTTTTGGTTAAAGGCTTAAAAGTGAAAACATACATGCACTATTTTTTATATTTTCCTTTTTAATTCATTTATGTTCCTTCAGTTTCTGATAGTGTTTTCTTTTAATTTGAAACTTGTCAAGCCCAAGGTGATCAGAAAGAACCTTGGTTTTTTGTGGATATTAAATTAGCTTGATTTTAATCCTAATCTAACACATTTTTTCTAATTAGAGACCGGCCTTAACTCAAAAATCAACATCCCACCGGCATCATTGATTAATGCAGATTGTTTCTACCATTCTTATGAAATGGGCACAGCTGATTATGACGCGTCTCGCTTGAGAAAACCGCTAGATGAGATTGAATTTAATTTAATTTCTTAAGATGAGCTATAGTCAATGTATTTCAGATTTTATAATGGTGAATGATTTGTATAATTGTACATGTGATCAGTGTTTCAATCACTGATCACCCTTTGATTAGGACTTGTGGGGTTGGAAGGGGCAAAAGGCTATATTAGAAAATGAATTAATGATAAACAAAGTCCAACTTGGGGAACAAAAGGTTTTTAAAAAATGGAAAGAATCCTCATAGGGAAGCAGTCTAAGGGCTCCAAGAAAGTATAAATCTCAGTATATATGATGCCTGGTTTGATCATTGGTTGATATGTTTTAAATTGCTGTATTGTTTGGACAAAGTGAGTCAATTAATAAGTTTATCCCAAGAAAATAAAGAAAAGAAATCTTGAAAGATGAATGCATTGACCTCTTCAAATTTTTTGTTTGCTTGTGTGATTAGCAATAGATTAATGGGGCTGCCAGCTATAGCAATAATTTCATGATTAAAATGACTAAAATTAAAGCTCTGGGGAAAAAGCTTTCTAGGAATGTCTTTTCTAGTGGAGTGCAAAAGGTCAAAAGGTGTTGCACCTAATGAACCAAGAAATCTGTTAAGACACCATTTTGCATATGGTTTTTTCTGATTAGTATTCTTTACTTTATATATACAAAATGATTAACAGATAAGCTTTGGATGTTTGTATCAAAAAAGGGTATCCAAATTTGAATGAGAGAGGCTCATATGATTCATATGAATATATCTGTCCATATATAGTGCTCAACAGTGATTAATTGATGACAACTGCAATCTAAGCATATGATCTATATATCGGGGCACCAAAGCACCATATATGAGTGGAATATTGCTATATATATAAAAGCACACATGCATACATACTGTAAGCACAGATGAACATAATTAAATGGTAGTTTTAAAAGTAAGCACCCATTACAAGACTAAATGACATTTTCAAGGTTGTTTAAGACAATTGTTCATGAGAATCAATTGTAGTACGTCTTTAAACCTTTTGCTTCTGAAAAGAAAATAAATAAAAAAATAAAAAAATGGAAAAGAAAATTGTAGTCTTTAAACTCTCAAGGATATAAGCTTTTTATGCTGTAATGGTGGTGGCAACCACAATTGATTGCATGCCGGAAGCACAAGCATATGATGGTTTTATAAAGACCAGTCATCTTCAAATCAATTGATCATGATTCTGTAGAGACGTACTGTTTATGTGTTAGAGGTTCTTATCCCACATTAGATTTGGATGAGAAAGTTATCAACTAGTAAAAAAATGATATGTGGCAATACAGTTTTTGAGTTTTAGGTCAAACAGCAAATGCCCAACCTATTTACAAGCGGTATCAGAATAAGGCCATTCGATTGACGTCGCGTCAAGTGTTCACACAGGTGGTGTCTTGGTTTGGATCCATGTCACGTCAAGCGTCCACATGAGTTGTGTCTTGGTTTGGATCTAGTTTGTTATTAAATTCTCTTACCGTATCGAATACCGAGAGGCAGAGTGATTCGGTGTTACTAAGATCGAATTCAATTGGAGAAGTTGTTGGACTAATAAGGGCAGGGACTCAGCGTGCATATTTGAACCCTTGGAGAAGTTGTTGGACTAATAAGGGCAGGGACTTAGCGTGCATATTTGAACCCTTAACATCATGGTTGCGTCAATTCAATCAGGCTACAAGGAGATAGGTTTGAGAGAGTGTGTGAGGTTGATTAACTGATCATTTGGCTGTTTTAGTAATTTACAGCGGCCATTATTTTTCAATGCAAAAGCCATCAGGTCTGAGTCCGAGAACACGCATATACGTGTCCATGTATGAGAGGGAGAGAGAGAGTTGAAAAACTTGGAAGTACAGTTTCAACATTATGATATATAAATTACTATAGGGTTAACTTTTTCTGTAAGATTATTGAAAATCATGGCTTTTGATGCATGTCTTTTCAAGAAACAACATTCAAATTCAACTTCTCTTGGTAAAAGCAAAATAAAGAGGAACCATCAAATTCCACACTTCTTTTTCTAAACCATAATTAGCATTCTAATGACCTTTCTAGAGCATAATTAACATTCTAATGACCAAAGGATAAACCTGTTTTTGTAGATTCAAAACCCAAAAGGCAGCCTCAGCCTGCCTTTTTTTCCAACAGCTTCATATGAGCTCTCCTGGTTAAATTTGGACACTCATTTGGACACTCTACAATTAGGTCACCGGATAATAATGCCTCTAAAAATTCCATTTGCCTACGATAAAATCATAAAAACTTATAAATAACTCCTCACTGTTCAAGCCATGAAGTGACTTATATGTCCTCTTTTTATATTTTCCCAAAAGTCAAAATTTTTTTTCTTCTCCTAATTAAAAAAATAATAATTTCTTATATACTTAACAACTTTTTTCTTTCACATACAAGGTCATTTTTGTAATTTCATATTTAAAAGGTTAATTTTTAATAAGGGGTCACCTATAAAAACATCAAACTTGAGGGTGTTTTTCTTTTTATTTTTCCCTTCAATATATTCCAATTTTAGATATATAAATTTACAGTACAATTGAATCTAAATCCTCTGTGGTAGAACGCACCAAGTTGAATAACAACACTGAACCTTTTTTTAAAACGAATAGCATTGAAAAGATCATACCACATGTGTAACATACATTGTGATTTAATTTGAATCATCAACTACTTAATAACATATGATCAAGCTTTATAGAATAGATTCATTCCATACCATATACATAGACAATCAACTATTCTTAAAGATTATAACAATTGATAATCTTTGACAAAAAGCATTGGAAGCAAAAATAAAATAAAATAAAATAAAATGATTTGAAACTTGAAATAGATGTTAAGCAACAATCTAAGGTTGCTCACTCTCACTCATGTAATAAATAACAAAACTAGTGGAGAATGGGGCACATCTGGACTCAATGTCCCATTTCATAGACCCAAAATTCAAAAAATTGGAATGATGTTAAAATGCTTCAAGAGTTGATTTTAAAGATGCAAAAAGAGAATAAAAACTGTGGCCAATAAAGTACAAGTCAAAATGCATCTCCCCTAAACTAAAAGGCAGCACTTATCTACCAAATTTCTTTGTAGATGTCTTCAATATACATTTGAGTTGGCTTAGATACACCCAGAAAAAATAAAAATAAAAATAAAAATTGGGGGATAATCATATAGGATTTGGTGGGAAAAGGGGCTCAAAGCGCAATAAAGCATAATCATGTTATTGATAATGAGTTGGCTTTGGTTATGAGACTATTCCAAAATGAAAATCATGAGATACCAAATGAAATGCAAAATTCAATCAGCAATAAAATGTTCAATGGTACATGCAATACAATATTAACACGTGAGTCGTATGTGTTAATGTCAGCTTGTCTAAACTTCGTACTATAATTGATAGCATTTGCATATGAACCATATGCATGAATGCCATATGATTGCTGGTGGACTCTGAGGTTGCTGATGCACAAATATGGGACATGAGTGGATAGTTTTATCAAGGAGTAGGGCTAACATATGAATCATGTGAATCAACTTTCTAAAAAGTAAGCCACTGAAACATAAGGCCAAAATAAGCTACATTTCTAAACCTAAGCCTAAAATTCAGCTATTTATATAGGATAAGAATCTTAATCACTACAAACTACTACAAACTATGAATCCGTTTTACATCTTTAACAAATATTCTGATATATTCAACAATCCTGAAAATGTGACCTGCAAACTTTTAGCTCAAATAATCATCCATTTACTGTCAACCAGGTGTGAAGAAAAGCTGCTAGTTGTTCCATGTTGATGCAACGCACAAACAGAAAAAGTAAAATTTCAATGTCTTTATTTCCTGACAAATAAAAGAGGTTGAATTTTCTGGCATTACAACAATTGGGTCGATATTGCATTCAAATGGCCCATCTTCACTTGTAAATTGTGACTTCAACATTAGTTGCGGTGTGAAACGTGAGAAACAAAGCTGGATGGAGAGAATTATGCTCAGGGCTTAACAGAAAAGATGGGGGACTAGTGTCCTCTCAGAAGAATTTCTATACAAATGCCGCGGGAAGTAACCTGCTAATTATTTAAGATCAACGGTAAACCTTGAATATGTAAAGTTTCTCCAATAGACTTAAAGTAGCATCTTGAGGTGCGCACAGGCACAAATAATTGTGTATGATCAATTGAATATTAACATCAAGCATACAACGAAAATAAGTAAAAGCATTATGGTTTTGTACACAGAAACACAACAAATTTATGTACAAAATGCACAAACAATGGTTAGAAGAATCGAGTAATTCATCTACAAGAAGTCCCACTGCCAATAGACCTTCTCTACAATGCCTCCACCGCTCTGAACAGCAAGGTGGAGTGTTTCAGAAGCAGGAGGAACCCCCCAAAGTAGAGGTACTGCGACGGTCATTGTTAGCTTTTCATGCAAACCGCCCTTGCTTGCCTTTTCTGCAGCAACAATCTGATCATTGAATAAAAAAAACTAGTAAGGCAAGACGTTGGATCTAATATGGTGATGAACAAAATATAAAGGATAAGATGCGTTGCACTCCTGTGTGGACCCCCTGTGACCAGTGGGGCTGGTTTCATCCTTCGTGATGGACACTCATGAAAGGACAGGAGGAGGAGGACGAGGATGGTGCAGCAGCAGTGTGAGAGAGAGGATGGAAAGAGGGGGGAGGGAGGATATCGATGGGCCAACTCTCATCATGTTTAAGGTGGAGCACAGGCAATAGGGATTTCAATCAATGTGCCGGTGGCTCCCAGTACGATCTGTATGTCCACATCCAGCACAAGCACAAGTGTAGTCTGAAACTTTTTTTGCACCCAATGGCGGTGTTCAAGCAATAGGGCCAAAACCCAAGGATTAAAACCAGTCATGACACAAGGGGGAGAAAATTTTTAGACTTTAAAACGATCGAAACAACATTACATGTTGAAAAAGAGTGCATGTCAAGCCCAACCTTGAGAGCTTAACACTTCGATTGACATCATAACGGCAAAATACAGATAAAGGAGCTCAAGATATCAAAAATTAATTGGGAGGGTAAACATGAACAAGAAAAGTGGGTAAGAAATACGAGACATGGACTATAAACTTAAAGTGCCAAATGGACACATTTACGAACACTATAAAACTTCAACAAATATATATAGAAGAAAATTACTTTCGATTTTTTTTTTTTTTCGATTTATTAATATATATGAGTATTGGAATTAAATAGGCCATTACCAGTGGTGGTCCTGTCGATTCATGAGCCTTGTTTATTCTAGAAAATCTCTTAACTATTCCAAAACCAGAAAGAATTCGATTACCCAAATTTCCAAACAAATAGTCAGCCAAGTCATTCTGAAAACATTTACCCAAAATTTTGTCTTCCAACGAGGAAAACTATCCAGCTAAAACTTGAACCATTCAAAGTTCCCCTCAAAAGATATAATCCTTCAGAAAAATTGAAACAAAAAAGTAGAAGATCCCACGAAAGTCATCAAAGTTAAGTCTGGACTCACAGAAACTCCTTTGCTATGCTGCCTCAACGCTGAGGTTGGATCACAAACCATGAGATGGTTTTGGAGCCTGAACCATCTACTGGATTGTGTTGTTCAGCCATATATTAGACCCACTAAAATCAAAATACACCAAAATATTCAAAAAAGAAACTGATTAATACCTCCCCACCATGCTCCAAGACAGTGTCTTCCACAGCATCACTTAGCATCTCTATGGAACGGCAAAACCCCAAGATACATAATCTTCTGCTCGCATCAAGCCCCTACAAAGACCAATACCCATGCCCATAAGACAAAGTGCTGAAAGATCAAAGTATCATGCAAAAAATATCATAAGATACGGTTACATTTGTTGCTGCAATATCAAAAAGTGCACCCAGACATAGGCGTTGATTTGGATCCATGTAATCGCTCTCCTGAAAGCGATGCCTTTGAGAAGTTTTTGACTTCCCTTGCTTCCTCTGTTGTCAAAAAGTATATGTTCCTTTATTTAATTGTATTAAAGTTTAGAAATGAGACATTGTTAATGAAAAGAAAATGAGATACAAGGTTAAAAGAACACGTCTATCATGCTCAAAAGATCATATTGTATTCCAATATATCTTTTTGTTAAACTAGGGGAGGCCAATATGCAACTAAGAAACCTATTGGTGAAATCATTCTCATTTATGTGTGCATATCAATCCATCCAATAGACCACCCGCTGAAACCTTTACAAAAACAAAATAGTTTCAAGAAATTGAGGCAAATACCAGAAAGTGATATGAAATAGAATTGGTATATTGGAGTCACTCAAATAGAGATGTGGCAACACCATAAATCTGCCAAAACATCAAAATGTGTTGCAGCTTCCAACCAATTCAAATGGACTAATAATCACTACAAGCACCAAATATCCACAGAGGTGGCTTAAGCCCTTGGCAATTAGGCCCCACTTGAAAAGGTCCAATAATATACTCTCCTTGTAGGCTTTCCTTAAAATTTAATATTTTCCAATTCCTTAACAAGAAATTTAAAATATAAATATTTTCCAATTCCTAGGATTTTAAACTTCTATTCGAATCACGTCTCTTTTCTCATAAATTTCCTCACCAGTCTTAAAATTCTTACAACTTATTATTATCTTTTTACACTCTAGACATCTTACTTAAAATTTGTGTGATTATTGTCAAAAACCTTATTTTTCATTCCTCAAGTCATACGTTAAAGAAAAGTTTCTATTCGAAAATTTCTCAAAATTATCAAAGGACATCCAAAAAAATCTGCTTGAGAATGAAAAATAACTGAAAAGCAATGCCATAACTTCAAAATTTTGTTTGGGTTTAGCTGGGATTCTAAAAAATTTGCTTTAAGCCTTAAATATCCAACTAATGTTTTAGAGTAATAGTTACTAACCTCCCTTCCTATTGTAGGAATAAAGATGTCTAATAAAGTACAATGAAAAATAACGTACATCTGATGAAGGGATACGCCGAGGAACCATAGAGCCTCCAATTTGAATGAGTCCGTCAGCAGTGAACAATGTGATCCTTTCCTCAGGAACCCATTGAATAGCTGTAAAGGCAACAACAAAGCCCTCCTTTCATGGAGTAGCAAGGAAATTTATGGAAAAGAATACGATGTTCTTATTAAATAACACAAAAACTCAATCAATCTTCACATAAAATAGACCATCTAACAATATGATGATAAGCCTAAATTTAATTGTAATATGTCATGACATAAAAGCAAGACACCCATATGAGAAATGCAGAAATGCGATAATGTTCCTTTCATTAAATTATTTACTTCAAAAAAGTGAATTGCCCATATTGCACACACTATATTACATAAAATAAAATAAAAAAAACCCACCATTTTTCACTCAAGAATTAATATAAAAGAAGAATATCTAAAAATATGTATATTCAGTTGTGTCCCCCTTTTCTTGGATTTAAGAGTTGATTAATCCGATACTTAGACACATCCCCATCACTGACTGTACCCAAGTCCATAGGTTTGTTCTTGCATTTCCAAGTGCTGAAGTCTGCTTACGTACCGAAAGCTTTCACAAACGCTTCATTTGTTTCAGTGGAAAACAAATCAGAAAAAGAAATGTGTTGGTCCTTATAGATGAGGCAGCCTATTTTTGGGACTCTATGACTATTAAGTCATATTGTTGAAAAAAGTGACAAAAACCAGCTATCTGAAGCTGGTTTGTCAGCTTATTTTCTGGAAAATGGTATCCAAGAAAAAGAGAATACAAACACTTTAAAGAAGTGCAGACTGTCATTCAAGGGCGGAGCCAGGAATTTGTTTCGGGGTGGGGGGCGGACAATAAGTCAAAAAATAGAACTGTAATAATGGTGGAATAATAGCATTTAATAATTTGAAAAATAATTATTTAAAAAAAATGAAAACATAAAATACCAACCTTAAGAGTCCTTTTAGCAACAAATTTAATTACCAAACTTTGAAGAGGAAAAATATATATATATATAGTTTGAATAAAGGAATGCATTTATTTTTTAAGAGAATATAAAAAAGAAGAAGAAGAAGAAGAGGAGGAGTAAGAATGAAAAGAAGGAAAATTTAAAGATATTTTTAAAAAATTATTATTTTAGTGGGCATTTTTGTAAAATTTTATAAATTATAGGCCTATTTGCAATAAAAATTAATTGGCCCAAGGGAAAATAATTATTTCAGGGGGCATTTTTCACTTTTTATAAATTATTGGCCTATGTGTAATAAAAATTAATGGCCATTTTCTAGAAAAAAATTCTTTTAGGGGGGGCATTTTGAAAACTTTTATAAATCATAGGCCAATTTGTAATTAAAACTAATGGGCCAGCATGGGGCCCCCCTGGGCCTATGCTGGCTCCGCCCCTGCTGTCATTAACATAAGGAACGTAAGGGAAAGCAGTGAAATATAAAAGAAACAGGTCAACAACTAACGCTTAGTTAACGCAAAAGGTTCACAGTATAGAAATTTAGTTACTGGATTTGCATTAGTTCACAGGTTTGATGCCAGATGCTAGCTTTAATAATAGGTGCTAAATGGATGAGAAAAACTGCTCAACTTCATAATATTTGAAATGAAAATATAAAATCCTCAATGGAGAATCGAGTGGGTATATAAGTAAACCTTCTGATCAGGCCACAAAAAAGAAAAGAAGGAAAGAAAATCATTTCAGGTTTTGAACATGCTTTCTATTTCAGCTTTTCTCCAGAGTATTTCACAAATATAAATATGAAAAAGGTAAAAGAAGGTAACAGCGGCATTATTTAAAAAAATAATGACATTACTTGCTGCCACTATCATGAATAATGAAAATTAAGAAATGAGAACTAGCAAAATATGGGAACCAGATTGAAAAGAGGGGTCAAACGAAGTGCAAGGACATATTAGGAGTGGAAGGAGGGTGATGCAGAATCCCGAGCCAAGTGGTCTACGCGCTTGCTATAGGTGTAGATGTAGAGGATGATTTATGATTTATGATTTATGATTTATTTTTTATTTTTATATATTACTTTCCATATTTATTCAGGAATTTAGGTTTCCTATTAGAGTCTATTGTGATGCCCATATATAGGGCCCGGTGATTGATACATTGTGAGGTACTTTTTCATGAATATTGATTAAATACAAAGATTATTATTGAGAATTCTTCCCCCTTAGTCTCTTCTCTTCTCTTCTCTTTCACTCTCTCTCTCTCTCTCTTTTTTTCCTTAGTTAGTACTCACACACACATGCCTCCACTGAGGCTCGAACCCCTGACCTCCCTTTGAGAGGTAGGAGCCTAGTACCGCTAGGCAATTGGCGTATTGGTCTTTCTTGTTCTCCTTGAATTTTGATATCGAAACACCCCTACCCCTACCCCGTCCTGCATCAAGTTTGTCTCTAACACTCCTTCCGGTTCCACTCTACATTGAGTTACAATAAGGTTGGAATCCCACAGTTTTTTTCCCCACGAAATCTTTCACAAAAATGGTGTTTTATATTTTGATAGAATATATGATCACAGATTCAGGTTACCCGTCACTAGAGATGTTAATAGATTCAGCATAAGAGTACTCAATCCAAAATTTCAGTCTACTAAAAAGTATAAACCATTTTATAAGCAACACAGAAGAACTGATCCTTTTGCAAGCGTGTAAGTTATATAAAGACTAAAATTGTGCACAAAACAAGAGGAAAAAAATAAACCCAAAGAACCTTATAACGAATTTGTCAGCTAACATCTGTCCAAAAGAAACAAGAAAGCAAGGGAGGAAAGTTGACAATAAACGTTGTCAACTGCTCAATAGGGCTTCAGAACCCACATTTAAATGGGTTAGAATTTAGAAAAGAACATATTTAATGTGACCTACTCTAAACGACATACTAATTAAGCTAAGACGATTGTAGGAGTCTGAAATAGTGAAATATAAAGTGCATAAGCAACATATTATACCTTCTCCTCGTGCCCTCCAAAAAAATAAATAAATAAATAAGTGTGTATATATATGGATAACTAATACAGTCGGATTCAAAAGTTAATACTGTAAAATAAACAAAAACTTCAAAACTTTATAACAAGTTGGGACAGGAAGGAAAGAATCAAAATTCCAAGTTTTGTTTCTTTTTTATTTTCAGATAATTTCTTCACAATGAAACCAAGAACAAGAAATAATTCATATCTTTATGGTTGATAAACACTTTTTTAATGCATTTAAAGGACCGAATAGTGCTTCGAATATCTAACCTAATGTATGCATATCACATATCACCAATCGTGGGCTCAAGATTTCATAAATCAAAACCTAATTAATCCTACAAGATACAATAAGATCTCAGATTCAGTCGGACGTGAACTGGATCGAGAATAAATGAACAAAAAGTCATTTAAGCAATCAAACTAAAAAAAATTAAAAACAAATAGTCTAAAGAAAAACATCAAGAAAGAAACGCAAGAAATCAAGAACATACCACCGTCTTCGTCGGAAGAATCCCAGGGATAGAATCCAAATGGATCATCGCCGAGGTAATTGCCGGAATTGGAAGCTTTTGCTCTGAAATGGACGAAGGAAGAGAGCGATTGAGGGCGAAGAAGAGAGAAATTGACGAGCGAAGTGAGAGGTGAGGGAGAGAGAGAGGGAAAGGTTTCTTTAGAGCGAGAAGTAGAAGTGAGAGAAGAAGAAAGAGTGGAGAAGCAGAGGGCACCGGTTTCTGCCATTGTAGAGAGAGAAGGGGGGGGGGGTGAGGGTGGGCTTGGGGGTCCGGAATCTGATGGATTTGGGAAAGGTGTGGAATCTGATAAATAGTAGTAGTATTAGGCGGAAGGAGCAAAGGAAAGGAAATGGATGGATGACTGTTTGACGCCACATATTGGTGTCAACTAATGAGACGTTTTATTACAATATCCATATAAATTAAAGCCCATAAACCGGGTTTAAAACGGTTGGTCGGTTGGTCCTATGAATCCTGTTTGTTTCCCACGAAATTTTATGCTAGTTTTTGCCGAGAAACAAAATCACAAGTCAAGAGAGAGAACGTTTTTTTTTTAATACCATTATTATATTGTCTTGTCTCCAATCTGTAATTTATATGTTATTTGTACTGCTTTTTTTTTTCCATATTATTTAAAATATATATATTTTTTCAATTAAAAAAATTATCTGAAAGTTATTTATTTCAAATAGCTTCATTTGACTTTGTCTAATATAAAAAAGCAATAGGTAAATAAAAAAATTCTTATGCAACTTTCATACACTCCAAAAGTCCAAAGTCCAAACAATAAAATAAAAACATAAAATTTCCATCTTAATCAATAAAAATTCAAGAATGTACTTCGCTTCCTAACCTTCACCAAACTGAGAAAAAGCAATCTTAAATTATTTTTTACAAAAAACAAATATTTTCCATCGGTTATTTGTTTCCTAACTAGGCCTAAAACTCTGGACGACTACAATATTACCCAATTACAGCTTAAAAACTGCTGAATAATTGCAAGTGTCAGGGCCATAGTTGAGCTCACGGTACGCTTACTTGGGCCATATATCCCAGGGCCATCCAGGCAAACAAGCACGTAGGATATGCGCTCAGTGACAAAAGGCCCAAGGATGAAACAATAAGTTCTAATGGTCATTCTATAACCCATTTGTCTCACTTGGAGTCTTGGACCAACAAAAGTTCAAAACTTCAAACTCGATCTCATGTTGATATATTGGTACATGTCTACTTTTTCTTAATTAGTACAAGCATATAATAATAATTGTCAAGATAAAAATAGATTAGTATATTAGAAGAAAAAGCTTTCATTAGAATTGAGAAGTTCAACATGTATCCCATGAGTAGTAGACAATTTTTAAGGTTAGGAGTGGGTTTGAAACACATCTTAAATTTGTTTGGATACTCCTCCTCTTATTCCGTATAGGGTGGTAGTAAAAAATGCATATTTTATCGTATCTTTTAAATTTTTTTTTTTTTTTGATAACTTAGAACTCCCCAAGACACGACCCTTACGGATCCTACCCTGAAGCACCAAACTGGGAATATGGCAGCCTGCCCCATAGCTACAATACCAGGTAAGTCGACGAAACTAGACACCCCCTGAAAGTTCAAAAATGCACAAAGACACTCCTTTATATGAGAAATTGACCAAATTACCCTTTGACCGTTTAGGAGACTTTAGGAGACTTTTTTAACTTTACAATTTAATAAATTGGACTAATCTACTCTCATGAACAATTTATGCCAAAAAAAAAAATTATATTGTTCACATTTTTTTTTTTTTTTGTTATTTACTTTATAAATGTCCCAACTTCTTAAAAATGTAGACATCTAAGATGATTTTTTGATCCAATACATATATTTCAAATAAATTATATTTTGCTATTACTTCTTTTCTTTTTCTTTTTTTATTTTTAAATTAAGATACTTAATTCTTTCATCTAAAAAATTAAACCAATCTCTTTTCCTTAAAAATAAAAAATATGGTACCAGCATAATTTTATGCATCATAAATTATATATCAAATATTATGCATTTTCCAACATAAAAGAAAATAGTACCAGTATAACTTTATGCATGCCCTTTTTTTTTTTCCCTCTTTTATGTTGAAAAATGCATAATATTTTATATATAATTTAAGATGCAAAAAGTTATACCGGTACCATATTTTTTATTTTTCAGGAAAAGAGATTGGTTTAATTTTTTTAGATAAAAGAATTAAGCATCTTAATTTAAAAATAAAAAAAGAAAAGAAGTAATAACAAAATATAATTTATTTGAAATATATATATTGGATCAAAAAATCATTTTAGACGTCTACATTTTTTAAAAGTTGGGACATTTATAAAGTAAATAACAAAAATATATATATATATATATATAAAGTTTTTTATTTTTTTTTTTTTATGCATAAATTGTTCATGAGAATAGAGTGGTCCAATTTATTAAATTGTAAAGTTAAAAAAGTCTCATAAACGGTCAATGGGTAATTTGGTCAATTTTTTATGTAAAGGGGTGTCTTTGTTTATTTTTGAACCTTCAGGGGGTGTCTTTGTCCAAAAAACAAGTAAGTTTCCTCTTAGTGTCCTTTTGTCAAACCTCAGGGGGTGTAACTGTACTTTACCCAAAAAAAATTTAGCCAGTTGTCCAATGCCCTCTCTATCTGCAGATAACTCCATAGAGAGAAATTATAGAGCCCACAAATAAGGCCATCTACTTGCCCCCCCCCCCCCCTCCTCCCCCCGGCGCACTGACACAAAGCCACTCTAGAGTGGGTTGCGCCCCGAATGCTCTAAGACACTAGCTGCTATACCATAACTCATAAGCCCACCTATTTCATTTTTTTTTTTTTAAAGATGTGGTCCTATGTTGTTTTAATCATAAATTCCAAATAAATTGATTTTTCATCGATGTATTTCACATTTTTGTTTAAATCACCGAACGCCTTGTAGCTTACTTACATTCTGAAGATGAAGAATTCGAATCTCTTTACGACCAATCTTACTAAATTTTTACTTAGCATTTATTTGACCTACCATAAAATAATTTTTTATTATGTGCATGTCTGTTTGTCAATAACAATAAGCATAAACTTCATTGTTGTGTAGTTGAGCTTATATACTATATAGTATAAAGTTGACTTGCATTCGTATTTTTCTGGCACCTAACTGTGAGAAGGGCCATATTTTAATGGCAGCATAGAGAGTCCAAAATGGTGCACTCATTCACAAATTCAGAACTCAGTTACTGTCAGGTTTCCATTGACCGCTTGCACTTCACATGCATATAAAAATGTGTGGTCTGGTGTTTTCTGGTAGTCAATGTAAGGATTTAACCTAGATGAAAACTTGATACCCAAAAAAAAAAAAAAATGAAACTATTTAAGATAAATAAATAATAAAAAAAGAGATTTTTACATATAAGTAAATATAACTAAAGTATATTACCATTTGGTGAGCGTAGTTTTAATATTTACAAATACATTAACCAATTTATATTTAAGCCTCTCTCGTAAGCTTATTTTATATTTCCACCCCTTAAGTTTATTTTTTGCACAACTTACTTAAGAAACAACTTTTAGAAATTCTACAATTCCGCCAAATAGCACTAAGAAACTCTTATATTTCATTAGAAACCGGTAATACAACACATGGCCTTCGTCGAAAATAGAAAAACTTAGATCTAGAATTATTCGTATACAGAATATTCTAGAAGCTAGACGACAAAGTTTTTAATTAAGTTTATGAGTAGAATAGAATTTAATAACTTAGATAATTCTACAAAACGACTATGAGAAAATTTAAATTATATTAAAAACTAAATCTAGACAATAAAATAATATTAGTCGTAATTAAAGACATAAACAGTGATATTAAAAATATTACAGAAAATCAAAAAATAATCATAAATTATTTAAAATCTTTAAAAACAGATATCCAAAGATTATACAATAATTTTATGAGCACTAGTAATCCTGATTATCTTGCAGCTTTAACCGAACTTTATAAAATTGACAAAGACCCTATAGGATATACAAGTTTTAAGACCGACATACAATCAACTAATATAAATATTAAACAAAATAACTTTTTAATCCAGTTATTACTCCAGTTATCTGACAAAGTTAACAAGCTTGAAGAAAAATTAGAAGTAATACAAGAAAGTATTCCTAGAGAATCCTCTAAAGAATTATCTGAACTATCAAATAAAATAAAAGATTTAAAGTTATCAACTGTGATACCCCTCGGATTCGAGACACGGGTTGATCAGGCCCAGGCCCAAACCCGAAGGATATCGAACAATTAAAGTATTTTAAATCGAACACGGAATACAAAGTGAAATACGAAATAATAAAATAAGCTGAAAAGAACTAAAAGGAAATCCTTGTATCATAATTAATCAAATCTGATAATCCAAAACTCCATAAGTTTATAACTCGGGAATCCATCCATTGGACCCCTTATTAAAATTCTCAAACTAAAACTGAAATAATAGGAATAAAATCCAAAACTAACATAAAGAAGGTTCCTACATAATCGGAGGAATGAATATCTATATCTGCTCTGCACGTCTAAGCTCTAACCCTGCAACTGACGAACACCTGAAAAATAAAGGAGTAGGTCAAGCCCACATGCAAGTCCTGATCTATTACAATCCAAACAGTAATCCGATATGCAGATATATCCTAGGAAGACTCAACAATATCTAGAGTAGTCCATATATGTATATAGTACACACTATAGGATGCTTGCTAGTCCAGTAGGTCTGTCTCAGCCTGAATAGAATGCAATATGTGAATACGAAGGTGGGCATGAGTACCTAGTCCTATCAGGGAACAACACCTATGTCCAGTTATCCATCCTAGGCGATATACGCGTCCTAACCATGGTCATGAGCCTCAAGCTCATACCATGACACATATAATAAATATATAAAGTCCGTACTCCTAATACAAAATATCATGCATCTATATAGTGGTCTGATATATGTATAACAAATCCATCCTAAAACCATAATAGGTCATTCAATTTATTTGATTGACATGACACAAGTAGGTGATGGATTTAAATCTTTATGGTTAATCCATACCTTAATCCAAATTAGGTAGGACTTAGTGTTTTGAACTAATCCATTCTCAATATAGGTAGGTCTTAGTGTTTTGAACTAAGCCATCCCTAATATGACACTGTCCCATACCGGTTCATAAACATTCATATAGGTAGGACTTAACCTTTTTATGGTTAATCCAACTCATTCCATATT